ATCTGAGCTGAGTCGTCAGCGATGATAATGCGATGTGTGCTAAGCTGCGCTGTGCCGCGATTAAGTGAACACTTTGACACTGGGCAATCCACTGGCCGCGAGATTTTTGATCCCTGGCCTCCCTGGCCCGGGTCTGGAGGAGGGTATGTTTGTGCACAGCAAACGTGCTCAGTGCACGAGATTGCCTGAACTTCCGAGATATTTGACGAATAGATTCGCAACGGATTGAGCAGCTCACCAGCTCTTCTGGCAACTACGAAGACAGCGACAGCCTTGTTGGCCCTCCAAGGTCTGTCTGGACGGCTTACCTTCGCCACTTCTTGTGTCTTTCGAGGCTCACGAATCATTGGACTGATTTGGACTGCTTGATGTAGCTACCTCATGCATCTAGCTCTGAATCACCGCAAGCAGGCAATCCCAGTAGCACCCCGATCGTACTGACTTGGTACTGTCATGTTTCAGCTGCGTCTGGCGCGAAGATGATCGAACCTATGAAATTTCTGTTTGTGCAGTCCCCAGGCCTGGTGACCCTCCAGGACAACGCGAGTACTTGGCATGGTCCTCCAAGCATCCCGACCGCGCTTTTTCGAAAAGTGGGCAGTGGTGGTGTGTCACGCGGGGGATGCGGAGCATTTCACTTTCCGAGCGCCTGCCCTTGCGATTCCTCTTGCTCGCTAAGATTGATATGTTTCCACGAGAAGTTGCCCGAAGAAGTTGTCCATCTGTCTGGATTGATTTTGAGTCTCCAGCGAGTGCAGCAGTGCATCTGCATTAGCATTGTGTGATAGCATCGGAGCTGTGCAGTAGGAACAGCTCCTTCAATGCGCAACAACAGCCAATCTGCCATCTCATCCCGGGAAACATGCCCAGGCATACGTCCGCGCTCTATATCATTCATTCCTCACACTATGTCACTGTAGCGCCTGATGCTTAGCTGGTGGAAAGCTTTCGATCCGCAATTTGAAGTGCTCTTTGGGCCTTGTTAGCCGTCGGTATAGCAGGCAATCCCGCTGGGGCCGTTCTCCTGAGATTTCCTAGGCCGCATCGCCCCTTTCGTCCACAACCCATTTTGAATGGGCAACTGTTCACAGATGTCTCAGCACCGCCACCTCTTTCGCGGGATGGTTTGCACTTGCGTTCAGCCCAGGGGGGTCGGGAGGCGGCCCGGCAGCTCGGCTGGCGGCCCGATTCTGCTCTCTGAAATTGACGGCAGCTCTCGTGTCGTACCAAGCTAAAGCCATGTGCTAGAGTTTCTTATGTTCAGCTCCGCAGCACCCGCCGTTTGCTCAGAGCATTTCAGAGGCCTTCTTCTACTCTCGTTTAGGCCTTTGGCTCTGCGATTGTGCTTGTTATTCTCTTCTCCGTGGGATGGTTTTCCAAGCCAGGTCCATGCTGACACCGGGGGGCCACTGCTGCGAAGGCGGTCCTGGTGCCTAGTGAGTCCAGTATAGGTCCATTGTTGGAAAAAATATGGATGGTCAGTAATAAAGTCCGATGACAGAGTCGGCGCGAATCAGGAGGCGAGCCGGTAGAGCATCGTTAGAGCCATGCAGAGCCCAGAGTTCAGATCCCAAGCATCTGACAGGCTTGCTAGGGCCGTTAATTGGTTTATGTCGCTTTTAAGGATCAGTTGCCACACCGGCATAACGCTTAAAACTGCTTAAAACATACTTCACAGATTCAGCGGAATGCAGAAGAATATCGGAGGGACCGCAGGTTCACGGACATTACGCTAACCCGAGATCACAAAGGCTTCGGGATGCCAACAAGTCGCTCTTCCTTTTCTTAGAGTACCTTGGCAACCTCTCCCAGCGGCCCACATGCAGAACTCAGCCGGATCCACTCTGCAGTCAAGCGATCGTTCACTCTTGTCCGCAGGCTTCTGCGGCTTGCAAACCAACCACACGCACTGCACCGCACAGCTGCCCACCTTATTTACTCTTTGCTGGCAGCTGCAACATCTACACGTTCCGATGCAAGATTCCCCGCACCCCATTTTTCGTCTTACGGGCCAGAACTGCAAAACGCACCCATGAACAGACGCTTAAGCTTCTCTAAGTATACAGTTCAAAACGCCGATGGATGCCTCCCAATGACAGATCCAGGCTTACACGACAATAAGAACATGTGTTACACCTTCCTCAGCGGTGTGATAGTAATAGACCGTTGGCATTTCAGTGTGTTTTCGGAAATTTGGCACGCAAAATCAGATTGTTTTTTGAGCTAGGGGGGTTTGACTGGTGAGAAGGGGCTTTTTCGGAATGCAACTGAATAAGCATTTTATAATTCCTCCTCCAGCTTGCATCCGATGGATGTTTCTTCCATGTGTCCGCGCTGTGTCCGGGGACTTCGTCATTCTTTGGCATTTCGCCCAACATGTCCCGGATGCGCTGAATCCAATGGTAATCGATTGGTATCAGACGAAACAAAATGTCCGAACGACTTCCCGGTTGGTGGAGATAGCCCATCCTGGACGGAAATATTTGTGCCTGGTTCCCGCTCGTTGTTCTCCTCCATGTGCCGCCGGAGACGAACAACGCTTTTTTTTCTTATTCTCTCTATTGTTATGGTGTAATGTGTATGTCGGGTCTCTCTCTCTCTCTGGTCTCTCCTCTCTCTCTCTCCCCCGTCGTGCGCTGAGGACATCAGCATGGCCTGTCCGTGGTTTGTGGCTGTCTCCCTTCCGTTTCATGACTGATCCGTGTCTGGCAAGATTTTTTTTTTGTGCACTGCATGGTGTGTTTTGGGTGATGCACACCAAAGAATTACCCGACATGTTGTTGGAAATGTGCATTTGAATGTTCAGAACTTCAAACGCTCGCAGGGCACGTGTCCACCCATGCACTTTTTGCACCAGAACCGGAATCGATCAGAATTTGCGGTGCAACCCTCACGTTTCAGTTTTTGATTGTCGGGGCCAAGTTGATGAAGTGAGGGCTTGAAGGCAAAGCATTGTTTTTTTGCATGTTTTTTCGTGGAGGAGAGTCCATCATTTCGTTCACCTTCTTCGGGTGGGGCCTTGGGTTGGGGCCGAGGTTCGCAGGGGAGCTCATGGTTGGAAGCTCTGTAGGTCCAGCGCCAGATAAGAAAAACCTTGGCTTTTCGACTTGGGGTACTCTCGATTTTCGGCAAATACACTCCCCAACATCCAGAATTTTAGGGTGTGGGAGGGTACCCGCCATGTGTTAAATACTAAAAAAAAAAAAAAAATTTTTTTTGATGGAGTTCTTAATAGAAAGCATATTGTCCTTGCATGCCGTAAAGCATGCTCGGCACCCTCCCCCGCCCTCCCCCCTCCCCCCTCCCCCCTCCCCCCTCCCCCCCCCCTCCCCCCTCCCCCCTCCCGCCCCCCTCCCCCCTCCCCCCTCCCCCCTCCCCCCCCCCCTCCCCCCTCTTCCCCCCCCCCCCCCCTTCCCCCCCTTCCCCCGCCCCCCCCCCCCTTTCCCCCCCCCCCCCCCCCCCCCGCCCCCGTCCGCCCCTTTAACATGGAGGCGTTTATCATTAGATTTTGATTCCTAGTAGTTTCGTACTTTCCATTATGATTCCGATTAATGTCAATAGGACTTTAAGAGTTTTTGAAAGATTCAGAGAAGCCTCTGAAAATTAATAGGAATCATATCCAATATAAAATCGGAATCCCAGAATACATAAATACCTCCTCTGGGATTCCTATCAACATTGAGCATGATTCCTATTAACTTTCAGAGGATTCTCTTCATTTTCACAAAATGCTTCGAATCTTATTAAAATTAGTAGGAACCATTTTGAATATTGCGAAAATTACTAGGAATTATATTCAAATTAATAGGGTCCCAGTAGATAAAGGGGGGGGGAGAGGGGGGCTTTGCATTACAGTGAGTCTGCGTGCCAGGTCTTCGCATCCGGGTTCTTGAGACCTCGGGACCCTGCCTCAGCATTTCCTGGAGCCTGCGTCAAGCCACCGGCGGCCGACAACCTTTAAAACTCAACAGCGCAAGTCCTTCGAGGTGGAATGCATGGAATAAGCCAGGGCTGCTCAAAGCTGCACACGACAATTCCCTGACACCACCCACCTGTTTGCTCCTGTGCAAAACTCTGCATTGTCTCTGCCAAGGTCTTCAATCACGAGTCAATGAAGGCCAGTGTGCCCGCTGACAAACATTGTCCCATGCCACTGCCTCAAGCAGACTCTAGCTTTCTTTCAGGCGGTGTCAGCTGCCGAGTCCTTGATTGCCACCCTGATCGAGGGGGTGATTGCCTGGGTGGCTCGTGTTTGCTTCTTCACTTTTGCCCAGCGGTTTACAGTTGCCAACAAGAGATAACAACGGTGTTATAGATGCAGCGAATCAATAATGAGGCTGAAGAGAAAGATCTTTGGATTGGTGGGGAGGCACCAGACTTTGCGAAGGCCGGCATTCACAGCACCAGTCCCACCAAGATGATTTGTGCAAGCTCGGGGCAAGATAGCAAGGATGCGATGGCCGATACTGATTCGGACGGCTAAAGCTCGTTGTGGTCACGGGCGCGCCTTATCACTGTACCGTTGGTGCAGATGGACAAGTGTGCACGAGCACTCTTTGTCTGCTGGATTAGCTAATGTCCCAGAAGCTCACACGAGTCTTCGCTGTCGAGTCGAGATGGCTGGCGCTTGTAAAAGTGCATGAAAGCTTGGACCTGGATACAGCAAACATGCCGTGGAGTGAGAGTGGGTGGGTGGGTGAGTCAGTTTGTGAGGTGTGTGAGGGTGTGAGTGTGTGAGTGCGGGTTCGATTGGCTCCCGTCCTTTTCGGCTCGCTTTGCAGGAGGGGCCCCCCTTTCAGTAGCTAGGCCAAGCAGGTGACGGGCATGAGCTGCACAGATTGCTATGCAAGTCACGACTCCTAGACTTCTAGACGGGATGTGACCATCGTCCCTGCTGAAAGCAGCAATTGGCAGTGTAGATCTGTGCTTCCACTGCATCCAGCCAGTCAAACATCTGCAAGCAACGAGTCAAGATGTAGAACGTCTTGCTGGCGCCAGCCATGGCGTTCCACTTACGATGCATTGTGGTCTTTGGAGCATCGTGTGCTTGCTGTGCTTTCAATATTGACGCGGGCTTCACATGCAGGAGTGGAGAAGCAGTAGTGTAGAGGAAGATTCATGTGATTCATGTGCATTTGCGGTTCTGTTCTCTGCGTTGGAGCATGCACATTCCTGATCTGCAGGGCGTCCAGCAATGAGTACGCATGTGGTTTCGCGCTTGATCGGAACATTACCTCGGCATGGAGTCTTTGTTGCACTGAGGATGTCTACTAGTCACTAGTCACTAGTCCAACACACCGGCAGCAGCATAACAGGAAAGAAACAGGAACAGGCGACAGACAGGAGGGATAACCTCATGCAGAAGCCGAAACAGTGCCGGGGCTCCGGGTGGAGCGGATCAGTATTGTGAATCTCATGATGGGCTGGGATCGTACCAGGGCGAGGGTACCGTGCATGAGCAGTAAATCGAAAGCCAAAAGTTGGCCTTTCAGAAACGTACGGTACTGGACCGGGGAACCGCAAGTGAGCCACATTGTTGCTGGCGCCAATGGAAAGTTCGTCAAGTACGGAAATGGTGTTCTTGCACGTCGGTCCGAAATTAGCCAAAAGCTTGAAGCTGAGTTTTCTCCTCGCGGAAATGGGTTCGTGGAAACCGATTGTAAAGACCTGGGGAATGTAAGGATGCACTGCAGCGCGTGACGACCTGTAACGACATGTGGCAAACCGAAGTTACAAGAACTTGCTGCCACTGCTGCAACCCCGAAGTGGCGTGGAAGCGTGGCGAAAGCTGGAAACAGCTAGAGCATCGAGAGTCGAGATATGAAGGAAAAGCGAGATCTGCGATTTCCGATCACATCAAACGAGCTCACTCCCCAAACCCACCCCATAACCGGCATTGCTGCAAGCTGCAAGCTTATCTCCCTTGATCATGGAGCATTGAAAACCCTGTAGTCCAAGCGCATGCCCAAGATTCCGCTCATTGGACAAGCTCAGATCCAGCATTAGTGCTTCCAACATTTGCTTCCTGTACGAGGGAGATGTTCTGTACCGCTGAGGGCATCCGATGGTCCAGCCCCGCAGTGGTTGGAAGCACGAGTAGCAGGCAGAGACGCGGCGAAACCTAGAGTGCAGGGCGTGACATGGCCTGGCATGGCATGGCATTGACGTCTGTCATTCCCAATGCTAGATTCGCTCGCACATGCTTGTTAAATTTGAGATGTGCAGATGGGACTTATGCAACGTTGGGGTCCTACGCCGTGACCGCTGTGCTTGGGCGCCCGGACTTGGCACCGACGTCGTGGCGCCTGGAAGGGATGGAGCCAGGCTCCACACAGCGTCAAATTCTCGATGAGGCACGGTACTTGCAACATTGTAAGATCATCCTGCGGACCCCGACCTTTCGTCATGTCCTTGCAGTTCCTGTGATGAAAATGTTCAGAAGAGTGGTCAGTGCGGACCGATGGATATCCATTAGAACTAGGCTGCTATGATGTTCTTATGTACATGACTGCTGCGGAGATCAGTGGGGCAAGGGGTGGTAGCAGCAGCGTGGCAATCTGAGGTGCATGACAAGACATGGCAGGAAGGAACAACTCACATCAGGGAGCTGGGAGGCGAAGAGCCACTGGCAGATACTGGCAAGTTGAAGACACTCGAGTGCAGTCGAACACAGTCGGATCTTGCGCAGGCTTCAGCTCATGGCGCAGCTTTGTGCTGACCATGTTGGCCGGCACAGGACTCTCGGATCAAGCAGTTGAATCTCGAAAAACACCGAAAGGATGTCGTGAAAAGGATCACACACGACATGTGCACCCAGCTGCGTAAGCTGACGAAGCATGTGGTTGAGCCGAGGCGCGCAGGTGGCCATTGCGGAGCTGCAGCTGATGCCGAAGTTGGATTATGCTTTCGAAATTTCTCACTGGACGTCATGTTCTGCTACATGCGGTGGCGGTTCACAGGAGAGGACAGCGTCTTGGTCAAACTTCAAGCCTCTGCGACCGGTACACGCAGATCTAGCATGATCTAGCCGTGCTCGTACTCGACCTGTATGCCTGCTTCAGAACTAGGAAGCCAATCACATTCAGTGTGTCTCGTGCCACTTGTGGGACCATCGAGGTGGTCTGCAGAGGAGAAGATGGAGTTAGCTACAGTGACAACCGCTGCACCACAGGGGAGCCTCCGGCAAGGTCACGGGCCTGCGGAACTTCGATTTGTGCTTGTCAGGCCCCGGCTGGCCTATGCTGGCATTTGGAGAAAGTGCTCGCTCGACTAAACACCAATGAATCTCATGAATTCGGTTAATCTCACTCAGCATTGCTCAGGGCGGCTTAGCCTGCAGCGCCCCTTGCAGCTCTTCAAGGCTTTCGTCGATCTGGGAGATGCTGTTCACTGTCCTCATGTGTCCGTTCACACGGTTTTACCCAAAGTCGGCCCCCAAAAGTCACTCTAAGCTTCTGCTTTGGCACTGCAAAAGCCTCTGCAAGCCTCAGCAAGCTTCTTTCGCCAGCGCTGCCACGGCGGACTTGGGTTGCGGAGTGCTCGTCGATGGTGCGGCGCTCACAGCCCTGGCCTTGACGTGGTTTTTTACATGCTCTGATCTTTTTGCTGCTATTTTTGCTGTTTGATGCATAGGCCTGGACCTCGGCCGGGCCAGCACCGCAGTGGCTGTCCTTCGATCTCGGCAAGGTGACTCGGGGAGGAGTGAACGCACGCAAGCATGCACGCTATCATGCACCATGTAACGGGGCTTTCACGCAACAGATCACCCTGCACGCGCAAAGCAGGCATGTGTGCACAAAGTAGGAAAAACAATTCGCCGAATACTCGGTGGAGCCAGCCACTTGAGCAAACTTGCCAGTTGATTCATTCGCAGCAGTTCGGAGCCACAGAACAGGCAAGTGAAAGCGAGCTCCAAAGTTCTAAATCTTAAAGTTTCTTAGTGTGAAAAGGGACAAGTTTTGAGGGGACCAGCGGGCCGGGCGGAGCCAAACGCTAAGGGGCTAAGGGGTCAATGGCGGATTGTGCAATGCATTCGCGGATGAAAAGAACTTGCGGAGAGATGTGTGAAATTGGGTGGAGCGGTTCTGCGATGTTCTGCGAGTTCTCATTGCTGGCGTTGTGCTGAGCAGGTGAGAGAGCTGGAAGCCTTCTCGGTGACAGCTGGTGTGTGCACAATATGTACGTCTCTGCAGGGCCCTTCTATGATCTCACTGGAAGCAAGAAGCAGTGAAGATGCTGGGTGGCTCCAACTGCGCTCCCCATTTAGTGTGGGTGCGGTGTGGTCATCAGGGGAGACACGCAGGCACCGAGAAAGCACACGAGCATGAGGTTCAAGGCTTCAAAGAGTTTTACTTCAAGTGGTTTGCTGTGAGCTGAGGTGGAACCTACATGACGGGAGCAACACCTTCCGCTTCTGGCGGCTTAACTTCTTGGACACCTTCGGAGGCAGTGCATATCCTGTTCATGTGGCTGAGGTTGGTCCTGCTCTGAGTTGCGAAACAGAGGATCACTTTTCCACCCCTTAGGACCTTAGGATGCAGTGACCAGTGACGGTGCAAGGCTTGTACCCACCTCCAGCCACCTATCGACTTGTCACCGGCAGCTGGGGCGCCTGTGACCCGCTGGGTGGTTCTGGCGCTTGTGGCCTGGGAGTCAGCAGGCGCACGGTCACATGCTTCGACGATGAGGACTACCCTCACCCGGTGGAGCTCTGCGAAGATGGGGTCGAAACCCCAACAGAGCAAGGATGCACTGTGGACTGTCCGGAGCTTGTGGTCTCAAGCGCCTCTGCGCATCCGCACTTCTTCGGGATCCTCAGGCCTGTCTGATCTGTTTAATGCTGTTCAATTAATGATGCTTCCCTCGCAGAACAAGGCTAGTCGACCTCTTCGAAAAACTTTGAATGCCTAAGCCAGCAGTCTGGCTCAGACAGCGTTAGAGCTAAACGCGGGTCCTGTCTAGATGTGTCTGGAGAGTGTGGATGTGGAAAGATGAGCTGCCGATTTGCACTGCTTTTGATGCCTGCATGGTGCCAGAAGCCTTGCAACGGTGGCGAAGGCCGGTGGAAGCTCCAATGTGTCACGTGGCTCCATAAGTGCGCTCTCTCATGGCTCGCTCTCTCTCTCTCTCTCTCTTTGTTGCCAGGAGCCTGCTTCTTCGAGTTGGCGGGTTTGACGCCGCCATTGACTCCATCTTGCGGCTGGCGAGCAGCATCCTCCAGGGTGAGGCACGCCACAACAGCCACAACATGCCACAACACATTCTCACCACGTCCGCAGTATTCCGCAGTCTTGAGACGCATCTTGTCTGAGTACTCTCAGGCAGCAGCACGTGCTCTGCTCCTAAAGGGGCCGCCGGGTTCTGGAAAGACCTACCTGGCGACCGTCTTTGCAGAGTCTGTGGGCTTTGAGCCAGGCGCTCGCCATGACATCTTGCAAGCGACAGGTGGTTCATAGTGAGGCATGGAGGCAAAGAGTTCTGGGGTAAAAAGTTCGTAAAGAATCGAAAATGAGACACGCTCACTCTGGACTGTGGGGCTGTGGCGCTCTCAGGTGAGGGATGGCCCATGGATGTACGTAAACCATTCAGGGTTTGGGGCCGGAGGCTTCGACTTGGATCCTGGTAGAGCATCCTCTGAAGACAGCATCCGTGTTTTTAAGTGTTGGGCTATGACATGAGCAGACACAGGAAAGGACAAAAGATAAGGGATCCAGAACCAGTGTTCGGACGGATGGGGATGTTGAGTTCCCTTTGAAGACGTCATTAGAAGGTTGGCAGGCTTTGCTACGATGGTTCCTAGTTTAGTTCATGTCCGTCACAGGTCTGGAAGGGGATTGCCCTTTCGTGCTACATGGACAAGTCAACAGGGAAGTGCAGACTTTCCGAAAGACCTTGGCAGCTTCCACTGCACGTGCTCGGCAACGTGCAGGCCTTCCGAGCCCCAGATAAGTCACATCAATATTCCTTGTGCTCTTATAGCAAAGCTGTCATGCGACGTAGAAAGAATTCCCTACATCCCTGCTCCCCTTCTTTGGGAGTTTTGCCCTGAGCTAAAGGTGCCAAACAGAGGCCTACACTTGAGGCATTGCTTCTGGAAGGTGCCGAGCTTGCTTTGGAAAAGGGTAATATTGATGACGACGAGAGCACCAGTCAAGAGGCTCAGCTGAGTCCAAAGGAGGTGCTGTCCGAGATCTTGTGTCAGGAAATGCAGGCTTGGCACCGAGATCACCTTCCCATTATCTTGCTGATACCCTGGCCTTCCTCCCGGTCAGAGCCCCTGGAGCTCTGTGTCCCAGGTGCCATTGAAGGCAGCGTGGTCCTTCCAGTGCCACTGGGGTGGAAGCAGCGGGAGGCAGTGCTTCGAGTGTGCCTGCAGAACTTGGACGTGGACGATGACGATGACAATTCTTCACGTGCGCTCCTGCCTTGGCTGACAGATGTAACTGCAGGGTTCCTGCCTTCCGACTTGGTTGGGCTTTGCCGCGCGGCTGCCATGTCCGCAGTGTCAGCTTCCAATAAAGGTGCCAGGCCAACATTGTCAAAGCCGCATTTCCAGTCAGCTCGAGCCCTTCTCGACCCTGCGCCTACACGTGGGACATGTGCCGTTAAGCCGGAGATATCTAGACTGGTTGAGGCTTTTTGCCCTGGGTTGGATGCAGTCGTTGGCCAGCCCGAAGCTGTCGGTACCTTGCGAGAGATGGTTATCCAACCTTTCAGCTGCATGCAGAAGGAGAAAGCATGCAGCATGGAGCCGCCGATTGGAGTGCTGTTGAGCGGCAACCCTGGCAGTGGCAAGACGTTTCTTGCGGCGCAGCTAGCAGCAGAGCTCTCGGCTCACTTATTCAATGCCTCTCCAGCGGATCTCTTGGCATCACGTGTTGGTGATGCCGAGAAGCACTTAGCAGCTCTGTTTCGATCTGCCAGAGGCTGCGCGCCTAGCATCATTGTGTTGGAAGACATTGAAAACCTAGCACCAGCTGCCGCCGGAGGTCCTTCGGATAGTTCGACTGAGACTGCAGTGTCAGCAGAAACGTGCATCGCCTACGTTCTCCGCAATGAGTTAGACACGATCAAGGCCAGGCGACAGGAGCACAAACAAGTGCGAGCTGGCCAAGTATACAGCCCGCAAGCCTCAGAGGCTCTGGTGCTCGTCATCGGGACAACTGCGACCCCACATCAGCTGCCGCCCTGGCTCTGTGTACCGCACCGCTTCTCCATGCACATTCGACTGGAACCACACCTCACACACAAGGTCACAAGTGGGGTAAACTTGTAAGCATCTATTCAGGAGTTGAAGGGGGCGTCGCGTGATGTCACACTCGATGTCACACACTAGAAGCTGCAGCGCCTGTGAGGATGTTCTCACCTTGATGCATAGGCATCTTGGGAGTCAGACCAGTACACAGCCTGGCGTGGAGGTACTGGAGGCGCTTGCTAAGGCCTGGAACATCCTGGAACTCTCCACGCTGAAGTGCTCATTTCATGAATGTTCGGTTCGTTTAGTGTCGTTTCAGTTCGGCGCATCCTGTAGGAACCGGTTGCGTGTCGGTTCGTGTCACAAGGCTTGCGGTTCGGTTCACGCTTTTCGTGCAGTGCCCCACCCCCCCCCCCCCACCCCCCTCCCCGAAAGAGGTAGAAAGGTGGAGGGGTAGGTGAGGGGTGGAGGGGTGAGAGGGGGGTGGAGGGTGTGGAGGGGTGGACCTGGAGGGTGGGCAGGGTATCGGGGCCTGTGTTTCCTTCGTTATTTGCAGTTCCATCGGTTCCGGCAATTCCGTTTCGCCTGCGGTTCCTACCTGGAACGGTTCGCGCGGTCGGTTCGCATTTCGCGGTTCGGTTCCTGACCTTCCTGTCATTTCTGCTGTACTTCTGTGCATTGGATCAGATTCCAGGTGGGCTACGCAGACGTGGTGGCTGCCTGTCGAGCTGCTGCTACGACAGCACTTCGACGTGACCCTTGGCTGCTTTCTTTTTCGACTAAAGGGACTACTTTGAGATGCTTCGACCATTACAGAGACGAGTCAAAAGCTGAGGCGACCTGTCCCGTGACAGCCCTCTAAGCCACTACTGTCTATACTCATAAGACGTATAAGAGTCGTTAAGTCGTTAAGAGCCAAAACAAGTACGGGCAGCCTCCGACCAGTTGCAGGTGTCGTAGGACGCTTCTCGGATGTTGTGGATGTTACTGATAAACCTGAGAAAGCCTATCATTAGCAGCAGGGGTCTCAGAAATACTGTGACCGAAAGCAGCAGCAAGCGGCAATGCATGAAAACACGAGCCATGCGAGTTAACGAAGGCCAGCTATTGACTACAGAAGTTGATAAGTTGCCGCGGCAGAGCAAGAGTGACAAACTGACGGTGATTTGCAGCACCTCCTTAGATGATGTGTCTCAAATAGCATGGGATTTTCTAAGGTCATCAGCAGAGGTGAAATGGACGGAATGGCCGACGGCAGTAAAATCGACGTCCGCGTCTCACCTCGAGACTTGCAGCAGGCAATCGGGCGCCTGTCTGATGTCAAGAACAGCAATAGAGAGGCAAAAAGTGCGGGAAGTGCATGAGTTGATATGTTCGTTTCAGCATTTGTTGAAATTTCCGTTGTTGAAGCCCTTCGAGTCGAGGGTGGAGCTTACCTCACAGTGGATGGCAAGAGTCCGATGCGCAGCTTACAAGGCTGCTTCTTGCTGTCGCTGCCACTGGTGCGGACAGCGCTCATCACACTTACTGGCTGATTCCTGGGAACCGGGCTTGGCAGGCGCCAATGGGTTCGTGGGAACCCAGCTGCAACCTCAGCACAGTCGCGTGAAGCAAAAGGCGAGCACGAAATGGCACACCATGTTAGGCTCAGCTGATCTTGACGTCGCTTTGTATTCTGCTCCTTGGCCTATCCTTGCCCTGCTGTGACGAATTCAGGCACGTGGCAACATCATGGAGGTATGAAATTGTATCACGTGGGGCCATCCAAAATACCATGGCTTTGCACATATCATCAGCCTTCCAAAGCATTTTGCGTGCAAAACAGACGCGCGAAAGGGTAGCAGAAGGGTCGCGAAAGGGCTTTGCCTAATTATTGTGCCTCTTAAAGGGCCGCAGAAATGCGGTAGGGGCTTTCTGAAAGGAGAAACATTTGGACTATGATGTGTCGCCAAGCCAAGGGCATTGGCACATCCGATGCAAGCAATGGCACAACAGATGTGGAGGGCTTGACACCCAGTACCTGGCTGTAATGCATTGACAGCACTGCAGATGCACAGTGCTTGTCAGCGGTGCTTCAGGCATACAGGTCCATGAATTTGCTGGAGAGGAGTTTGAGGCCCTTGCCCCGGTTGATGGACAATCCCAGCGATACAGTCAATGAGAGCCAGCAGCCAGACCGCAAGGTGCGATGCAAAGTGGTTGGAGGTTCACAGACCTTCGGCAAAGGCCGAAAGCACGAGATTCACGAGATCACGGCTCCTTTCCAATTCAAGTTCCGTATTGGTGTTTTTTTGGTTTGTGTTCGGAGGCCGCCTGGCGGTTTTGCGACCAGTTCCTAGCTTGCCTTCGGCTTAGTTGGCAGATAGTGGCGCTGTGTCTTCAGGTCGGCTTCGCTTATATTACGTGTCAGATGTGTTGCCACGCTGACCGCTGACCATGACCTCACTAGGATGGGATGCTATGCTGACCGACCAGCCGATCCAGCACGGGCCCTGTCAAAGTAGCACTCGGTGTGTTTGACTCCATGTGACTCCCATTTTCAGGGTTTGAATGGGTTTATTCGTGCTCACGACAAGGATTTGCCAGAAGACCGTGGTAGTCAAGCTCAGGCATAACCCGCTGCATTGCAAAGCGTACTGAGTGCTTGTCTGCCATCAGATGCGAATTTCACGCAAAGCGATGCTTTGACATCTCTGTCCGCAGCCACGAATTAGTCAGGAAGTACTCTGGTTTGGCAGAAACTCATACACATGTACATTGGACAAGGTCCTTAAGGTGGACTTGATAGCAGCGCATGGCATCGCTGACCAGAGTGGCTCAGTCGGAGACTGCCTGCATCGTGGTAAAACGCGGTAAGGCTTGTCCTGTAGCCTCACTCCTCCGACCTCGGCAATGGCCGGATTGCATTTGACGTCTGCTGGATCACTGACAGGGAGGGAACCATGGCACCCAGATACAGGCGAGTTGAATTGGCATACTCTGTGTGTGTGTGTACAACAAGTGTGTGCTTGCGTTCTTGCGATTGCTTGTGTTTGTGTGTGTTTTTGCGTGTGTGTGTGTGTGTGTGTGTGTGTGTGTGTGTGTGTGTGTGTGTGTGTGTGTGTGTGTGTGTGTGTGTGTGTGTGTGTGTGTGTGCGTGCGTGCGTATGTCTTTGGCACATATGCATATGTATCATATGTACATGTATTGCTAGTAGCGGCTCAAAGCGGCTTCTTTGTGCCCTGTCGAGGATCTCAAAATCGCAGATCAGTCCTCGACTTGCAGGCAGGGGTGACATCATTGGGTGGAGTATGTTGTGAACACATGTCAAAGCAGCTCCAAACCCAAGTCCAGCATCGTCCTCATACCAGTCGTGCCATCTGCACGTGGCAGCTGCACGCAAGTATGCGCAGCATGCGTGGGGATTCCTTGATGCATGATAGCTGCAGCGAACTACAGTATTTGAGCATGCCTGACAGGATCTTCAACATCGCTTTTTGCGCGAGCAGTCAGCTGTCACATCAGCCTTCGTGGACAACGTCAAAGCGCTGGGAGATGAGGTGGCAGCACTGAAGACAAAGGTATCTTGGTCGCAGGGCGAGTCTTTGAATGGGGGCAAGTTCGGTGGCGCAGAGTGATATGTACCATGCAAACACACTTTCCACAAAGGCTGCCATGTCGATTGACGTGGCATCGCGTTCAGAGGCAATGGTCAAAGAGTTGTGGGATCGGCTTCCTGAAGCTGCGTTTAGTGAAGTCCAGATCGTCAACTCAAAGTTGGAGACGCTCCAAGCTCGTCTCGTGGCCTGTGAAAAAGCAAGCAATGCAAGCAACAATGCCGGCAGACTGGAGGAGGTCAAGAAGGCCTTGGAAGGACAGCAGGCTACACATGAGTCCAAGCACAACTCCATGGCATCTCGTTTGGATGCTATGGAGTGCAAAGTTGCAGGGTTCATGGACGCACATGACAAGCAGAAGCAGATGCTGGAACTACAGCATGCGTCCCATTCAGAGATGGCCAGTCAAGTAAGGGCTCAAGCTGCACATCATGCTGCACTTTCTCAGCGCTTAAGCATGGCCGAAGGTTCGGTTGCGGAAGCCAGTCGTAAACATTCCCAGGAGATGGTATCCCTCCAGAAGTTGCTGGAACAGCTGCAAAGCAAATCTGCAACTTGCTCCGTTGAGGAGCTCAGGCAATCGGTGGCCAACGCTGACGCACTGATGGCGCAACAGGCTGCGCAGCAGGCGACGCAGCAGGCTACCTTGAACTTACGCTGCAAGGCATTGGAGGACCGGATCAATGATGGAAGCGGCTTCGTCAACTCTTTGCACGAGTTGCAGGCCACCATTCAGACGCTGCGTGAGGAGCGTGATGCGACTTCTCGGTCTGCCGACCAACGCTTCTCGCACGTGGAGCAGTCCATGACCTCCCTGGCATCTGAGCATACCTTTCAACTTCAAAAGTTTCAGCGGAGCTTTCAGGAGATGCAGCAGCAAGTTGCCAGCGAGCTCAATTCCCGCATGGCCCATCACACCGCTATCGATAGCCGTCTTGGTCGAGTAGAAAACAGCTTACGACGTTCCCCTGATGCACAAGCTGGCACTCAGCTGGAAGCAGTTCTAAAGAGCATTCAGGAGCTGTTGATGCCTTGTTTCCGAGAAGGGTCTTTACGTTTGAGATCGTTTGAGCAAGTGCTGCCTCTGGCTGTCCCTTTCTTCCAGGAGCTTGCGATTCAGCTTCGAGATGGCAAAGTCCAGCTGGATGAGCTGCAAAAGGTCACTTCTGAGCTGCGCACCAGGCACGAAGCCCTCAAAGAGCTGTCAGAGGCAGACAAGGCAGCAAAAGACTCAGTGGATGCACGGCTGCATCGACTCGAGAAGGCATTGTCTTCGCAGGCCGGGCTTGCACACATGTTTTTGACCATGTTTTTCTTTTTGCAAGTCTGACACACTCACTTAGCCGACTTGACCGTTGCTGTGAAGTCAGAGAAGTTCTTTCAGAGCTGTTCGGGGGTCCGAGGCGCAAGAGCTGCAGACATTCCTGTGCAAAGCCCAGGCCGCTGCACTTCCGCTCAGCGTGCATCAGCACAGTATCAGCACGAATCCGAAGCCGCGCTGTGTCCAGGAGCTCAAAGGCCAGGATCGTGCAAGGATGGAAGCCAAAGGGCACAGGCTGGCACACGTGTGTTCGTTTCTGACATGGTTCTGACATGCCTGACAGTTTTGTCACGTGAGCCGTGTGTCATGTGCATTGCTGGCATGTGCCTTCATCTTCCTGGAATGCTCAGGGCACCTGATCTCAGACTACCAGCCGATCTCTCAGCAACACGTGATGGGCGCAATCCATCCAAGGAGAGTTCTCACGTTGAGCTGAAGGTTCACATGTTTAGCAAAACTTGGCAGGCTTCGCATACTGGCCTATAACACTGTTAATGCAGGAGCCAAAAGGCGACCCCATGGCAATGACCAGCAAAGACCATAGTTCGGATTGGATGGCACCTCGGCGCTCTTAGACGTACAGCGCACGGAAGGGCATGATTCAGCCGATTAAGCGTGTTCTGCCTGTCACACGGTATCTAGTGCCGAAAAGCACGTAGAGATCTCTTGATTGCCCAGGACATGTCGCCTGAGCATCGAAGCTTCTTCCAGAATGTGACTGCAGTCATCATGCAGGAGTGTAGAATTGCATAAGTCTGGACTGTCTGTGAGTGCTTCTCGCCACCGTGGAAGGTTCTCCGCTTTTGAATTTGTATTTTTTTTTTTTTTTTTTGGGGGGGGGGGGTGTGGGGTGTGGTAATGGTGGGAATAACGTGCGCAAGATTTGACTCACAACGTATCTACTCGTACAGTGTTTTCGCATCGTCGTCGTCAGTTTTCGCATCGTCTTCATTTGTGTGAGGGGCCTTACATCATTCTTTGCATGTTTTCTCACGCCAGATTTTTTCCACTGCAGTTTGTCCACATTTTTTACCGGCTTGGAAGGCCTCGATGGTCTGCTGTTTTACGTGTGTATGTGAACCTACCTACTATGTCATTGGCCGTCGCATCCTTGCCCAACGGTGCTACTGTCCATTTTGCCATTGGGGCCAATTGAAACTCTGGCATTCCTCAGTCGGTCGAGTGAACGTCTTAAGTTCCCCAAGTCTGGAATGCTGCCTATTCGCGGGCATTCCAGCACATCAACTTTTGCTTGCAGCGGCTGGAAGAGCTAGCACTACCCAGTTCCGAAAGAAACCCCAAGACCGAACACATTATCAGCGTTTATGTTTGCACCAGGCATTGTTTTGCAGTTTTGCACTTGCCAAGCTTGAGATGACGAGCCGTTTCACAACGCAAATCGATCGAATATCCAATGCGAGCTGCGGGATTCCCAGATCGCATTGATGATGCGGCTGCTTGAAGCCACATCCCAGCCAACGGCTGGCACACCCTTCGAAGAATACGAAATTCAGGCTAATCCCTGCGACGTCTCGAAATCTCCACACTTGCCAGTGTTTTGCACCACTTCTGTGATTGATCATCTTCTTCGGAAGAGTTCCAAAAACAACCGACATACCTGGCACGACGGGAAAGCACGGAGACCTTGTGTGATCGCGTGCCCCAGGCATCCGGTGTCGTGCATGCACGGTGTAGCGAGACCAGCGGTACCTAGCAGATGTTGGCAAGCTGCCGCTTTGAGGACTCGGCGCCCGCAGTCTCCCTGCCACCGTTGGCACCTCACGCGGGCATGGCACGGATGAGCTCCTTGCCTACTCTTCGCGCCCCTTCCGGGCCAGGAGGCTTGGCAAGCCCGTATGTTATTTCGATCATCCCATTTTGCACGCGTGCACAGGCATGTACACACGTCAACGCGGACACCCCTGATGAGTTTGTCCCTGGGTGAAAGGTCGACCAGAACCAAGTCGTGACCGTCGGTGGCCGGCATAATCGATCATGCTTGCAAGATCGAATAGCTGATATTGGGAAAGAGCAGTGCAGTGCTGCCTCTGGCTCCTGAGTGCATGATGCTATTAAGTGGAACAAGCCCACGGCCAGATGGTCGTAGCGGTTAGGTTGTTGGGGCCTGACGGTGACGAAGACCACTCTGACCATTGCATGTAATTCTTCCAGAACATCAGCTGCACATCCCGCGAAATGTGCATTTCACAGTGCTGCAGTTATCTTAGTTATCTTGCGTTCGGCGAAGTCGAATGCTTGGCCTGAGTGACGAATCCAAAGCGGATTGTTGCGAAAATCCGCTCTAATTCTGAAGTGCGCCCTGTGTGTCTCAAGTGCTCGCCCTTCTTCCAGTGCAGACCTCAGCAAGCTGGTGGAAGTCGCTTCTATTGTCGTGGTACTGCTTTTCAGGTATCGTGCGTCCTAGCCTCAGATATTTTGGTCGTTTCTACAACCAGGGGTTGCAGAACTGTCGCTCAAAGTTGTTGCATGCCGCGGTGCACACTGAGAGTCTTGAGAGTCTTGAGATGTCTTGAGATGTCTTGATAGCAGGCTGATTCCTGCTTCGGCTTTCGCTACTTCGGCCTTCAGCGGCCAAGCTAATTGAGATGTTTCATGAACATTCCTGCATTGCCTGAAATACCCACAAGCACATCCAACGTCATGCAACACTTGGTGAGGCTGCGAGGAAAGTGCTCCTGTGGCGATGAGTATGGCGAATATGGTGAGCAAAAGCCAAACATCTCTGATGGAATTCCAGGTTGCTGGGCCTGATGAGCTGTCAAAAAAAGCCCTCGAACTTGCCCTGAGCCAGGCTGTGACTGCAATGGCCCATACTTCGCATACCACGCGAATTGTATCTGGGAGCAGACCAGTGGCCGATTCGGTGTCAGCCTCAGAAGTCAACAGATGGCACCTCTGGCACAGTCATGGCACATTGGCTGTTCTGGACTTTTGGAGTTCAGTGTTGGCCATTGGAGTCTGGGGAGGCGATGAGACGATGTTGCCTTTGTGGACGCAATCCTTGTCCACGACATCTGTGCTGCTTGCAAGCTTGTGTAGATGCATTATCGCAGATCTTGCCGAGCCCGGAACTTGTAATTGTAGCATTTCTTGGCACTGCTGAGCGGCAGCTGGGAGCCATCCTGCGGTGGGAGGAACAGAGTCAGAGTTTCGAAACCTCTTCGAAGCTTCTGGAGCCAATTCAACCTGACTCGATCTAACTGTCACTGATTACCTCCTAAGCGCTGTGGCCACTTCCAAGAGAGTAATGAGGCTCTCTGTTCGCGCTGCCCGCCTTGGTCTTCAAAGCCAACTAGAGACATTCCCCCAGGGACCTACATTCCAGGGTCGGAGGCAGTCTCGAAAGAAAGTCTCAAAAGGGAGTCTCGAATGTCCCGAAGCCGAAGCCGAGGTGACGTACTCTCAACAGTTCCGAGTCCAGTTGCTGTGGAGCGAATCGTGGAGATTTTCGTGGACTGTCGAAACTTTGTCCGCGACCTGCCAATGCTTTCGGAGAAATCTTGCCAATGATGGCCGTCAGTTCAGTGTTTTCGATGGATGGGGGATGGACGGCCGGCTTGGACAGCCGTTGAACATGACGTGGATACAGGTTGGAACCTGGCCGAAATGTCAATACGTGTTTGACTTGTCGACCTTGTGTTCGGGTCAACCTTTTGGGCCACTTGTTAGCAAAGTTGCACTCGGCCAGATGTACCACCTTAAAGATCATTCTTCGTCATCATAGACATCGGTTTAGCCTCCCAAGTGGCCAGTGAGCCACGAGGGGCGAGATCCCAGTTCGACGTGTTCATTTCACGAGTGTAGTGTGCATCTTGAGTGCTTGTATCCAGCAGTCTTTCACCTTAACTGTTTCATCGTGCATATAAGCCTTGCTAGGATGTTTAGCCGGGATGGCAGGCCGAAATGCTGGCACCGGTGGATAAGGATACTCGAATTCGCTGCAGCGCACCCAGAATGTGCCGGTGTGCTGGTGTGGGTGTGTGTGTGTGCGCGCGAGCTAGAATCCTTGTATTGCCTGCCTTATTGGCTGTCTCCAGGCAATGTGACCGCTGCGGGTATCAGCACTTCTCCCCGAACCTCTGCGTTTTGCACAAGTAGGGGCTGTACTTTGTCCATGACGAATCTTGCTCCCTCGACAACGTACACAGTGTCCAAGGCTCAGCTTCCTAAGGGCCAACAACGTGCAACAACGTGCGCGTGGTACTGTGGCACATGTCTTGATAGTGACCATTCCCGGCACGTTTAGCGACATCTGCAGCATGGAAACTTGTGACATCTTGTGACGTTGTGAGGTCCTGCGAGGCGGAGCCAGATGCCCAGCACAGAAGCAGGCGACTAGCGATCCTCTTGGTCCGGACTCTGGATCCCTATGTCCCGCCGGCAACACGGGCTCCTACTCGACCACCTCTGGACCTCACTGAGCCAGAATATGTCCTGGAGAGCACACCGGCTCCAGTAATCTACACTCCGCACGGCAACCCTCCTTGGGAATGGTTGCCATTCGTTGCAGTCGCTTTAGTATGTCTTTCACTTTTCCCAACACTGAAATATTGCACCAGCGGCAAGCGTACAGCTGTGCTCGAGTCACTCGAGCTCCCTCACACCTTCTGGTTGGTTTGGGAGCTGGTGTTGGCAGCAGATGCAGCGCTCGGATCCGTTTTTCTTCTGGATTTGTTGACCGTGCGTTATGAGCGAGAAGCCCCATATTGGGACGAGCTGAGCCTCATTCAAGCCCTCGTCCTAACTCTTCAAGCTGCATTGCATGGCATTGCATTTCTGTTCTTCGGATTGCTTCCATCTGCCATGCGTTGCATTGCTCATGAACTTGGGCGAGATCGTCAAGGCCACAACTGGACACTACTTCGGCATAAGGGACGGCAGCACCGCGCTGGTGTCAAGACCCACAAGTCGGCATTGCCACCAGAATTGGATTCGCAGCAGAATCCATCGGCCCTGCATTACCTTCCGCCCGTATCAATGTTGGCAGTTTGCCGGGCTAGTGATCAGGACATGCAGCTTGTTGTGCCGCGAAAGGTCGGCATAAATAGCATCCACTTGTTTGTCAGCTTCCTGCAAGCAGCTTGTGCTTTTTTCTATACATCTCACTCCTGGCCGATGCAAGCCTCCTTAGGAGCAAGCATTTCCTGCATGTGTACATTTGCCGTGATGGGCATCTTTGCATCCTTGACAATGTTGCGTGTGCATCAAGTCAAGAGACAGGGCCTTGTACAGCTAGATGCCAGATTCGCTCAGTCCTCGCAGTCCTCGGCTCCCAGGGTTGGCCTGCAAGGTCCCAGAGGTGCTCGTCCCCTGGGCAAAGCTCAGGTCAATGGAAGAAGCTGAGTACCGAGCTGGAAAAAAAACTTTCACACTTATTAAGTGCAGTGTCTTGCTGCCGGTTTCAAAGTCATGTTGATATTTCTCGGAACATTTCAGCGACCCGCCCCAAGATAGCTTGCTTGGCCTTCATGCGCAGCTGGAGAAATGTCGGGTTCAAGGAGTTGCATGGGGTTGCACTGGAGACTTCACTGTACCCGACGTACTCGCAACAAAAATAGAAGGCAACGAGGCCATGACCCAGGGGGCAAGGCAGCAATTGTCAGGGGAGGGGGGGGGGGTTCTCATTATGGCTTACACATGATGAGCTGTTTCAATTTTCAATTTACGATCAATCAGGCAACGACGAAAGGATGTGAGCTGGCTAATCAAACATTAAGCTTCATGGTCCTGACTTCTTGGCCAAGATTCGAAACAGATCGAACCATGCACTTTTGCGCCCTAATCCTGCCAGTGAAGTGAACGATCCGAGCACACACGCTCACCTGCCCGGATTCTACTGAGCACAGCGCTCAGAATACAGCAACCACCGGTGTCACAGATCGCGAGGGCGTCGCTGCAGTTGGGGCAGCTGAGGCCTTTTCTGGCACACATGAACATCCAGGACACTACTCAATCCTGCAGCTGTGCTTGCCCGATCGCTTTGCCCATCACTGTGCAACTTGTTAGAGATGGACTGTGTGAGAAATGCCTTGCTTCCAATGCTGGGCAGGTGTTGAGGGGGTAGTTCCTGTTTGGGCGATTTCTGTTGGATCTTCATTCGGGCCGTTTAGAAGACCCAGTGACAGTCCGGTTTCTCGTCGTCTGATGTGAACATGCTTCACGGTTTGATATATCAATATTCCAAGGGTCCATGGCCTGTTGAAGGCAGCATTTTGGGAGTTGGACGTGCCTCTGGTCGAATCATGTTGAATGTAGTTGTTTCAAGAGTTATAGAACTATGCAGCAACAGCAGCAAACGCGTCAGCAAGCTGTCAGGACCCGGAAGTTGTTCAGAGGCAGGTGAGCGGCTTCAGCATTTGTGCCAGATCTGTCCACTACTTTGTGTACAGACAAAAAGAGATGTCAACAGGTACGCCAAATTTGACATCCTCAACACATCCCCCTGGCATGAATCATTAGCCATCATTAGGGCCGTGTTCACCCGACATCTCTAGGAAAAACACCCTCTGAGACATCGACAGACATAGAGCCGAGAGAGCGGGTCCTGGAGGTTTAGATGGTGTAGTCATCGGAATCCCATGGTGTCAGTAATAGGCGAACTTTGGGTCACGTTGAAATTCAGCCACTCTCCTTAATCGTGGCGAGCTCATGCGAACTCCCTGAACTGCCCTGAGCGAGGCGGAGGCCCCTCCTAAGACTCGGCACGCGCGTCGCTATTGCAGCAGCCATGGCATCCCTCTTACTACCTCTTACTTCTCTTCTTTCAGAGCAGACCACAATCATCCTCACTTCAGTGCAAGCACTTCGAGGTTGCATCAACCTGCTGGATGTCTGGAGCAGCGCTGGCGTGGTGTTTCGGTGCTAGTGCCGCTTCTGCATTTCTGTTACACAGCGTCGTTGTATACCAGCCTTGCGGTGCTTTGGATTGGTTGATTTTGCTGCTTTGCGCTGCTTTGCGCTGCTTTGCGCTGCTTTGCGCTGCTTTGCGTGCCTTCATGTCCCTTCATGTCCTTTCATGTCCGGAGCCGAGGCAGCCCGTTCGCTTTGAGAAAGCCGGCAAGGGCTCCGTTGTCACAGCGGAGGTTCTTTGGGGATCTCCTGGACCGGAAGCCGATCTTGTTTGTCACAAGGGGTGATGTTTGACAGTACGAGCAGGTCCTGGGCTTTAAGCTATTAGCTTAAGTTTCTCTTACCCGACACCTCCCGACATCCTGCGACGTCCTCTGAATAGGACCCGTCTGTGTGGGAACGAGACAGCTTCGTCGCATCCTCATTGGCAAACACCGCCCCTGGAAGGCCTTGTTACACATGCATTTGCATGTGCAGAGGGCGTCAGATGCGTAACGTTGTCTGTAAGGTTGCGGATTCCATGAGTCCGTGGCTGCCCTCCTACCCACCAAGAACAGAAGTCGTAGCACTGGAAGTTGAGCCTTCCAGCGGCAGGCCTCGTGGTGTGCAGCATCACTTAGTCAAGAGTATGACATGCAGTTGCAACAGGTACTTGTCCTTCCTCAGGCCAGAAAACTGCTTGAGCCTCGGCCCTGCAAAGGGCAGAGTCAGCACTTTATTGACATGGTTAGGCTGAACTTTGACAGGCAAATGGTACATGGAGAAGGTTGTCATTGTGGGCGAGAATCTGGGTGAGCTGGACGGGAGAACCTTGGAGGTCATGAAAAGGGTGCGCCCGGCGACCCTACTTCACATATCTTAGCGTAGTTCTGCTTTACTCGTGCTGGCAACTTCCGGTAACACTAGTGCGCATGCAGAATCGCAAATCGCGCAGACTGCCAGCGAAATGGGTGCGGGCTTTGAAGCTCTGCCGTGGAAGAAGGCGACACCGACTTTTAACAGCAACCTTTCTGGACAGTCTGGCTTCGAAAGCAGTGGAGGCCGGGGTGCCGCCACAGATCAAGCTGGGTTCGGTTGTCCGAGCCTCAAAGACTCAGAGTCCAGCAATCTGTGAGATCCAGCGAGATGGTGCCAATTACTTACAACTTGTCATGTTGATGTCGGTCAACACGGCAATGCAACATGAGGACATCGGCCTCATGTCAGACGGCGCATGTGCAAAGTTGGGAGCCAAAGGCACTGAGGCCCCGAAGACCGTTTGCCTGTCACAGATTGCTGGCATGTGGAGCTGTCCAAGCCGGCTATTATTGTCTTTCCAGTAGCTGGTCGCCACACCAGTCGGAAAGAAATCATGAGAAATCAGAACGGTTTTTTAGCATCTAAAAAACACTTAAAAAACCATTCGCAAAAGGAGCAAGAAGCTCTCCAACAAAGTTTTATCAGACAGGCCCCCCCTCCTCCTCCTCTCCCACCCCCCCCCCCCCCCCTAGGAACAAAAAACAAAACAAACAAGAACCAACCGGCGCTTTGATGTGCTGTGGGTTGGTCTTAAAGAGCAAAGCCGTGAGACCCACGTACCAAGCACTTGCAACACTGCAGAACGTGTTTCGGGAAGTTTCAAAAGCTTTTCTTCGCAGACAAGGACACAGGGGAGCTTAACTAGCTCCAATCCTAGACAGCCGGCTGGGTCCAACTTATGCGGGGCCTTAATGCAGTCATGGTCAGGGCGCTGTTGCTTGAGTGGGTACTGCGTTTGCTTGCTCTTGCGAGGTACACGAGTCTTGGTTGCTATCTTGACCTGCTTTCTTATCCTCTACTGGCAGTCAGTTTTTGAATTTGCGTTGTCAGCTCGGATATGTTGCCTACAGTCTGCCATGTGATTTGCCGATTTCGAGTTCCATTGGCATGCCCTTGCTGCACACGTGCATTCCACATGATCCCCAAGTCCAGGCTTTGCTTTGGAACCGAATGCTCGTCATGACTCCTCATTTTCATTTTTGCGGGTGCAGTCATTAAGTTTTGATGGCCAAGTTTGCAAACTGTTGCCCATCGTAGCAAACTTAGTAAACTCTGATCGCAGTCATTGCGAGAAGCAGCATTTGGTTTAAAGCCGCTTACAACCACCGCGAGCACGACGGGTGTCATGCTGTTGGTCGATTCTGGTCAGCACGCGCGTCAGCAAGAGTGGAAGACAGGGAATCTGAGCCACCGTCGAGCAGCTCACCGAATCTGGCATAATAGATGAATCGGCATTCTTTTGGAAATGATTGACGCACACACACACACACACACACACACGCCGCAACGCAGCATCCCGAGAGGTCCGGATTCTTGTTATGCCTTGTTTGTGTCTGGAAAGTGCGAATGCCGAATGCATCGCAACGTATCGCCACACACAAGGCTGCCCTTCGGCGGATGTTCTTGATGCTCAAGGACGCCGCGCATGTTGCATCATGCAGTCAGATGGTCTGGAAACTCCCACAGAACTCTGGACGTTTCTTCATCATTGCGAACTCGGATGATGAGCAGGCCTAACAGGGAATTGTGAATGTCGTGACGCGTTTCCCTGAAAGGCATGCAGTCAAGGCAGGGAGAGGCTATAATTAAGCAGTCGTGCCATTTGGAGGAACGCAGGAGAACGCGCGTTTCCAATCAGATCTTGTTGAACAATGTTGAACACGTGTAATTCGGCTTCGCTTGCGTGTAGATTTTAGATGGTGGAGGAGGATAAACAGGTTGCTCGTGCATTCACGTCTAGATTTTCGTGTGCGTCAGACGGGGATGAGATGTTCTGGACATGGTTTTGCATTGCAGCTGTGCTGCAGCGACTTTTCCTGTCTGCGCATACTGGTCAGAGGCGCATCGCTCACGTGGTTGAGTTGTATCAATGTGCCCACCACCACTGGGAGCAGGTACGGGGTATCGTCCGGGTATGGTTGGGGGCATCATCGGTAGCCCCGAGAGAAATCGGAGCCTGAGGCCCAGGGGTCATGCCGAACCACCTGGTACACCTAAACTGGAAAGTTGACCTTTTTTTGTTGGAACGAAGCAATCCCTGAGTGATGAGCTTGCGGAGTTGGGAGAGAAATCAAAGTTCGTTGGTTTTCGGAGCCGCGAGGAATTTGTCTCATGTTTTGTACTCGTAGAGGTTTAGTACTGGAACAAAACCAATATTTCTTTTCATTAGGGCGGACACCCTTCGGCAACCACTTTGGATGATGTACTTAGGCACACTTAGGCGGCTAAGCCTTCCTGCGAGATTTACCTACTCTTGCAACGTCCGCTTTTGGTAGCTGTAAAATCCAAGCGTTCATTGGGTGGAAGGGGTTCCGCTCATTAAACATTCCTTGATACCACTTCTCTTGGCACGGCGTTTACATGCGACAAGGCTCGTTTGGCATGATTGCGGCATGACTTTCTCCGATTACTGGAACTGTAGTGATTTGTAGTGCATGTGGAGCTTGTACATCTGCGTGCAACGGGTCGCGCTGCACTCCTCGAAGTATTTGACAGATTGGGTTTCGAGAACAGCTGGTGCTTGGTTTTGAGCCTGCCGTGTTGAAGAAGATTGGCTGGCAGGCGCGCCAGCAGTATCTTGCACTCTCAGAGCGTTATACCAAAAAACACGTATTTGTCTTCGCGGTGTCTTGAGCGCATCTCCCGCGCAGATACAAGCAGCAAAGCGGGATAACGGAGTGGTCGTCGGAACCTCGACTTCGCATATCGCTGCCATGGGCGCATCTCTCCACAACTTGCTTAAGGTGGCCTATTTGGCAAAGCGGCGGGCGCTTGCTACTCACTTTTTGTCGGTTTGTCATTGCCATCGCGCCTGTGCTGAGCATCCTTGACAACTGCGATCAAAGGACTGGCGCTACGAGAAGACCACGAAGGACTACCAAGCGGTAAGGCAAGAAAAGAAAGCGAAGCAAAGCTTTGAGGTCTTTGAGCCAGGGCACGATCACCTCAAATATATCAGCCCCAGCAATCACGTGCACATGACAGTGCGCCGCCGGGACTTTCTAGAAGCTTCAAGATACCTCATAGACTCATAGACTCGAGCAGAGGTAGCAAACTCATGCGGATTGACAGCTTGAGTAGCACATGAAATCAAGGAGCACAAACGGCATAAGCCACATACATGGACACTGGCGTTGTGAAGCTGCATGTGAAGCTCATGGCGTTCTTGTAGCTTCGCGAGCTTGTTTGTCATAGAAGCTTGATGAATGCCCATGCGCTGAGACATGCCAACGACAGGCGAGACATGCCGAATCGCATCAATCTGCAAACGTGCGTTGCACGATGCACTGAGCATGCTGTGTACTTTTGTTTGCACCTGGTGCGTGAGAGAGAGAGAGAGAGAGAGAGCATGAGAGAGCATGAGAGAGCATGAGAGAGAATGAGAGAGAATGAGAGAGAGAGGGAGAGAGCGAGGGCGAGAGCGAGAGAGTCGTAGAAAGGCCGATAAGGGCCCGAGAAGGTCCTGGTGCGGTGGCGTGGCCGAACACCGGCTGCTGCGCAGGGGATAGAGTTCCGTGGGATGCGGGATCGGGGCTCAGCCTCGGGCGCACCCAGTGCGCCGTGGAGCCCTGCTCCATGCCCCAAAGAGAGAAAGAGCTAGGCGTAGGTTGCTGGGGGCCTTCACCGATTGAAGCCTAGCGAGGGCTCAGGTTACTTAGTTTCACTAGGCCAACCCAGGACAAACCAGAAAGGGGGCCGTGTAAGTCAAAGCATACCTGCCTCACCGCCCTCAACGAACAGTTAGACTAGAGGGGTGCTCAGTTTGGTTGCTGCAGGGCAGAATGCTTTCTTCGGGGGCAGAGGGCGGCGAGCAAAGCCGAAGCCCGATGGTAGGAACGCTAAAGTTGAAGGGGGTGTGGAGCCTGCAAGACGGGTAGTTGTCGCTAAGGATCGCTGAGGGGATGTGTAGGGGGGGCTGGGGAGGTTGCCTTCAGGAAGGTTCTGACTGTGAGGGGGCGGGTTGCGTGTCTGAAGGAGCAGTTTGGGGGTTCTAGTACAGCAGGGTAGGGGATCGATAAGGGGCCGAGACCAGTCCTGTAGATGGAGGGTGCAGTGGCGCGGCCGAACACCGCCCGCTGGGCGGGTACGTCAGGAGCAGGAGCGGGGCGCGCCTTGGCGCGGGGCTTGCCTCTGGCCACAAAGAAAGAAAGAGCTGGGTTTCCCCGGTGTGTGAAGGACATAGAGAGAAGGAGAATGGGGAGCCGCCGTGCCTTGTAGACGCTTCTTTAGGCTTGTAGTGGCAGACCCACGGTAAAGACAGCATAGACAACGCATAGCACGGCCCAACTGTAGCTCAACACTTTCTGCGCCGGCTGATGCAAGTTGCAGATTGTATCCTGCGCTTTCGCAGACCATCACCAAGCTACCAGTAACGCCGAGAAGGGCAGTAGCATGGTGCTTTTCATGTTTCGAAGGCTTTCAAAGGCTTCTGTTTCCACAGTGTTGAAATGTTTTGAAATCATGTGTGCTGCTAGCTTTGCAAAGTTATAGCGCGCCCCTCTAACGTTTGCCACCATTTGCAGCAACTTTGGAAGCTCGCCTTCGAGTTTTTTGGTACCAACATGTGAGAAGCCGCTTTTTGAGGAATGGCAGCAAAAATCTTGTCTCCTATCGAGTTGACTTACCTGTGCTATGGCCAGCATTTTATGCATTCAAATTGAGCTGCTGATGCGCCGATCATAGAGCCCTTTCCGCAGATGATCCTTACACTCTTTCTCAACTGTCAAGCTACGTCAAGCCAACTTCAAGCCGCTCTCCGTCTCTTTCGCTCCCAAGAAAAGCAACACTGAATCCAAAGCCGTGCGAAGCACGCCTTGGCACGCTTGGCACGTCTCCGCTTGCGCAGGCAGAAGCCGGCTTTCGTGCTTCCTCTCCTTGCATCGACCATGCCTCAGACTGATCCTCTCACATGTCCTCAAGAGGATGTCGGATTCGTTGCTGAGAGTGTACAGTGTAGGCACTGTAGGTATGGACCATCATTTTGCATCAACTGCGAGACCAATGACATGAGGTTCGCAACTGCTCTTGCAAGCCTTGGCTTGCAAGCAGACTGGTGCTACCAGTGCCGGAGCTGCATAAATCCGCTGAACAGGGGACCTGCGCACACCTGCGCAAACAGCTGTCAGCAAATGTCAGCATGTTGCACCATCTCGCAGTATCTCGCAGGTATGCACTCCTGTACTTGAAGCTGCTTGGGATTGCAATGTGTCTGGCCGATCACTGAGACTGGGGCCAGACTGCTGCAAGCGTATTGGCCCTGAGCTGAGCCGTATCATGTGAAGGCATGTCTCCAGGAAGCTCTTGATTATCTGGAGTCGCGAATGCCTGGTGGAGAGGCAGGGTTTCTTCGCGAGATGTGCACAACTAAGCGAAAAATGCTAGTTTTGTGAGGAGCGCGTCTCGGAAGTATTGACCCCCCAGCAGAATGAAAAAAATACAAGAAAAATACAAGAATGAATTCAAGAGAAAATACAAGTAGCGATTCAGGAACAACGGTGAAATACAAAAAAAATGCAAGACAAATACAAAAAAAATGCAAGAAAAATACAAGAAAAAATACAAGAAAACTACAAGAAAAATGCAAGAACGATACGAGAAAAATGCAAGCAAAGGAAAAGAAGGGGGGGGGGGGGGGGGGGGGGGGGGGGGGGGCTTGTGTTTTTGTCGTATGTTTTCCGTTTTTCGCGTGTTTTTTTCCGTGTTTTTTTTTTTTTTTTCTCGTAATTGTTTTCGTATTTTTTTCGTATTTTTCGTATTTTTCCGTGTTTTTTTTTTCGTATTTTTTTAGTATTTTTTCGCGTGTTTTTGCGCATATTTCAAAATACAAGAAAAACACGACAAAAACACTGAAAAAAATGCAAGCAAAGGAAAAGTGGGGGGGGCGGGGGGGGGGCTTGTGTTTTTGTCGTATTTTTTCCGTATTTTTCGCGTGTTTTTTCCGTATTTTTTCCGTATTTTTTCGTATTTTTTTCGTATTTTTTCCGTATTTTTTCCGTATTTTTTCGTATTTTTTCGTATTTTTTCGTATTTGTTTAGTATTTTTTCCGTATTTTTTTCGTGTTTTTTTCGTATTTTTCGCGTATTTTTCAACTCCCACCTCCGCCCCCCCCCCCCTCCCCCCCCCGTGGCCCCCCCCCCGGGGCCACCCCCCCCCCCCCCCGTCCCCCACCCCCACCCCGCCCCCCCCGGCCCCCCAACCCCCCCGCCCGCCCCCCCGCGCCCCCCCCCCCCCCCGCCCCCCCCTCCCCCCGCCCCGCCGCCCCCCCCCCCCCGCCCCCCCCGCGCCCCCCCCCCCCCCCCCCGCCGCCACCCCCCGCCCCCGCCACCTCCCCCCCTCCGCCCCCCTCCGCCCCCCCTCCCCCTCCCCCCCCCCCCCCGCGAAAAACGCGAAAAAAACACGAAAAAAACACGGAAAAAATACGGAAAAAACACGGAACAAATACGGAAAAAATACGGAAAAAACACGCGAAAAATACGAAAAAAATACGGCAAAAACACAAGCCCCCCCCCCCCCGCGCCTCCGCGCCTCTTGTGTTTTTCTTGTACTTTTCTTGCATTTTTCTTGTAATTTTCTTGTATTTTTCTTGTATATTTCTTGTATTTTTCTTGTGTTTTTTTTTGTATGTTTCTTGTATTGTCTTGTAAGTTGCTTGTGTTTTTTTTTTGTAATTTTCTTGTGTTTTTCTTGCACTTTGTTCGGCTGGCTTTTCTGCGCTCGTATTTTTCTTGCATTCCCCGTTTGTATTTTTTTTGTATCTCTTCTTGTATTTATTTAGTTTTACTAGAACCATCCCCACGCCCAATTAATGTATAACGAGGGTACCTGTACTTCGGGAGAGAATCGGTCCACCAAGGCAAAAATGTATAACGAGGGTGGTGGTGATGTTGATGTTGGAGTTGCCGATGTTGCAGGGGTTCAAGCTGCGACATTGCCCTTGCAAGATGCAGATATGTTTCAGCAACGCCTGGAAGACAGTCGCACGTGCAAGAACGACAGACACATGTAGAAGTGCATCATAATCCATGCCTCACTCCGCATCCGTGCCGGTTCCCTGTTCGATACGGGCAACACGAGCAGACAGTCTCATTGGATCTCAGCTCCAGGCTCCAGGCCTTGGTCTTCTGAGGTACATCCCCAACATTGTAGAAGGGAGGCGGGGAATGTATGGGGGGGGGGGGTCCGTCATACATTCTGCGGCTCCCGGAGATGGGTCCAGATGCCGTAAGGTCGCAGCTCTGGGAGGTACATGCCTAGCTTGGTGGGTAGATACGGGCAACACGAGCAGACAGTCTCATTGGTGTAGTAGGGAGGCGGGGAATGTATGGGGGGGGGGGTGTCCGTCATACATTCTGCGGCTCCCGATGCAGCTCCATGAAATAGGCCCCCTGTCGCCCATGTCCCAATATCTCAGTTGTAGGAGGCAGCCCCTGGATTTCTGGGGAGCTTTCATTTCTCCGGGCCTTAGCAGATCCCCGCAGCAGACCACGTGCCCAAGCAACTTCTCATAGAGATTCACACTTTGTCACCAACTCTTTTGCCTACTCAGGCATCGTAGCTCGTAGTTCCGTTATTAGGTGCTCTTCCCAACTCACGCCTGAAAGGCCCACGGGGGGAACGGCCTTTTCAGTGATGACTAGCGACCGAAGAGCACAAAGGCAAAAAACGATCACATGTCTTTAGGGTTCGTTATGCATTTCTCCTGGCCTGTTAAACCCAGGAAATTAATGTATAACGAGGGTAGGGGGTCGTAAGTAGGAGTTAGGCGTAGGGATCTAGAACCCAATACTTCTGGCACCACGCCCGTCACAATGCTAGTTCAAGTCCAGGTGACCTGTTGGCAGCAAATGTAAGTGCGAGGGAGTTCATTCCTTTCATGAGGCTACGCACATGTGCATGTCGCACTAGTACGCATGCTAAGACCCCCACACGTGCATGATCAGTGCATGTCAGCGTGGGTGGCTTCATGGACAGGTCGGGCTCTGTATCACGCAAAACAGGCGCCAGGTTCAAGGTGAATGCGGGGTTTGTGTCGGGGCTGCACGCAGGGTGCCGGAAACCTGCGCCTGTGTGTGTTTTCGGGCTTGGAGGTTTTCCGTGGGGCCTCGGCTGGGAAACTCTGACCGGCACAAGTGGTTGCCTGGTTGTCCAACACCGCAGAGCCGAAGGCCCCGAGGTTTTCACACAACATCGAAAAGCAATAGCTGGGTCACCGGGCCTGTTGGGGGTTTCTCTCTCTCTCTCTCGCTGTCTCCCTCTCCTAAAACTAGATGGCAAACCCTAGACGCCTAGACCGTAAAGCAGATGTTGGCCCCAAAAGAAAAAAGTGTGATGGGAAGCCCTATAAGCCCTTGAAGGGTGGGAAACCCAACCCAACGGCTCTGAAAGCCCTCAAAGGAGCTGTTGGGCGGGAAGCTTTAAGGCCTAAAAGCAGATGGAAGCCCAACCCTAAACATTCAAAGCAGCTTTGAGCCCCAACAGCAGATGGAAAACCCAAAGCGCGGAGATGACCCCAACCAAAAGGAGGTAGGTGGGAAGCCCAACCCTAAGCCCTAAAAGCAGGAACCTCAACCCCAAAAGGGGATGTTTGCTAGCAAACCCTTAGCCCCAAAAGGAGATGTTGGGCAGGCGTTTTGGTGGGAAGACGGACGTTGGCTCCTGCGTACTAAAACGGGACCCTGTGTGCGCGCTGGACGCATCAAAGTGCCGAGCGCACCTTAAGTTGGACGACGCGCGGAAACGTGTGCCTTGAACAGCCCTACCCTTACAACTAACTGACCAGATTTTCATTCGTGCTGCGCCAATCAAGTGCATCTCCCAAAGCAGTTGGGAGCCAGTCATGAGAGCATGTGAATGGTTTTCCCCAGCTTCATTAGTTATGGCACTACACCATGTCCAATCAAGGGTAGGGAGACATTGGTGCGTTGCAAAGCCATCTCCCTCCACTCCAAAGTGAGAGGTCCTGCCGACCAGCAGCCTGCAGCAGCTTACGCAAACTAGAGTCTCCGCTGTGTCCAGGTGTTCTACGATGCGGATGCCTCAGACTTGCCTCCCTGCTGGAAGTTTGCAGCAGTCAGGGTGATTGAAGCTCTGCAACCTCCTGCGAGCGTCAAACCTGTCCCAGGTTGTGCAGAGATTGCTGCGCGAGCCTGGGATATTTGAGCCGCGTCATGCACATGCCGACACATCTTTCCGGAGTTTGAGCAGTCACAGGGGGTGGCGTGTACATCAAGCGGCCGGCATTGCTGTTCTCGGCGATGCTTGCACAACTTGCCACCATACATGCTCATGTCTCAGCCTTTGAGTAGCCACTCCTTTTCGCCGGTTTTCGCCAGGAATCCGTGATCCCGCCCGTGTGCTGGCGGTTTGGCCCCTCGGCGGCATAATGGTCGAAAGGGCTGTCAGAGCCTTATTGGCATTGAACGAGTCCAAGGCTACTTCTGTCCGTTCTCACAGAGGCTCCGATATCCGTTGATGCTGAGACTGAGTGCGGCATACCGTGACATTCTTTGTACAGGTGGCAGGCAGCACCGTCAGAGTTGTGCAGGCAGGTTCGCGAGCGGTTGAGCTGATTTTGCACTTCTGCTGCATAGCGAGGAACTTCGTGTCAGAGAGAGACCATCGAGCAGTGGGAACATCACAGCTGTGAAGTGGAGGAAGCACCGTGCTGCCGACCTGCTTTGACATGGATTCAAGTAAACAACTGGACTCAAACTAAAGAGCTGGCTCGGCAGATCAGGCTCTGAGCTGATGCAATTGGTACAAGCTGTGGCAGCGGACACTCTGGGCGTCCCAACCAGCGACTTACCGCTGGCTCCTTGCTGTGCAAAGTTCTGCAAGATCTGTCATACTCTACTAAGACCCGGTGCTGAGGTACTGTAATTGAGTACAGACTACTTGAAAGGAACAGCGATTCACTGATTCACTGGACTTGACTCGTCTTGAAATCGAAGCAACCCGCCAAAGACAAAGGGAGATGCAGAGCCTTCAACGTTCGTCCTGATCAGAGGCAGCTCCTCTCGGTGTGGACTCGGCGACTGTGCGAAACCCGGGCTCTTGCCAGTGTATTTGAAAGTGTATTTCTAAATCGGATGCCGGCAGCTTTCGTAGTGGCATTCACAGGCTGTACGCTTCAGCGACGCCTTGGAAAAAGAGCTGAAAGCAGGCTGTTGGAATTCGAACATTTGATATTCGCGTCTACTATGGACAGCCAGTTGGTGTGACAGTTTTAATTGTGTGGACTTTGGAGACCTTGCTGGGAAGCGGCTACCTTCGACGCTCGCCTTTGACTTCCCGACATTGACTGAGCTGGTTGAGGGTTTGATGCCCAGCTGCAGACTACTCTTAGCAGCCTCTGGAAATGTTGATTCGTTGGTGCATCATGGCAACACGTCCAATGCTACCAGGTCTTCCGCAGCTCATCGCTGGTCGATCTCAATCCAGCGACACGTCGATCCACAGCGGTAAGCAGGCCTGATGTGCTCTGACGAGCGCCAGGGGTCACATCTGCTGTTGTTCCCAATGCTGTATCACGATAGCGCGCCGTCGATTTTGCTGGAACGCTGGCTAGAACGAGCATATGAGGGACGCTCGGACTTTGCTGCAGTTTGAGCCAGGAGCTGGTTCATGCTTTTTGGTGTTGAACCTGCACACACGATTCTCGTACATTGCCGCTTGCAAGGCAGCGTCATAGAAAGAAACAGCTGCTTGACACCAACAGCAGCTCAGTCGGAAGTACAAACATGTACTTTGTTGTCTGTCTATCTGTCAAACTTCCTGCCTTTCTTTCTATCCGTGCTGGCTATTACGCTTCCTATCCTTCATGTACATAACCATGGCTTGGGCTTTTCTTTGCAGGTGATTTGCAAGGACACCAATCTGGGCAAAGATTGTGCGGAAGTCCGGTGCTATACAGGAGTCAGTCACTATTGGTTTATTGGTGTGACGCAAACAACGGCTGTTGTCATCGTCAAGTAATTCCCCACTCGCTGTGTTGATGCTATCCGCAATGTACAATGAAACGATGCAGTCAGAGGCGGGCACCATTTCGAACACCGAGCACCTCTTTAACCTCGAAAAAGGACGCATGAACCGAATGGCAGGAAACAACGTCCCTACCGCTGGGTTTCACGACAGGAACGGTCAGCCACGGAATGCATTTGTCACGTCGGAACGCCAAAGCCCTCTTTCATTGGTTTGTTTTATGAAGGCCGCGTATCCCACGGGCAAGCCGGGCCTAAGAGCGCGGTTGTGACCCAAAACGAGCGCCTATAGGCGAGAGAGGCCCTCAATTCCCTCAACGTTACAACCTCATATTGTTGTGAAACTGGAATGTGCATCATGGAGATCACGGGCTCAACGCCGAAGCAAAGTGAAGACCACGCGAGCCTTCCGATGCTAACGTGGTTCGGTTCGCTCTCCGCAGAAACGGCGCCGGAAATCCAACACATGAGGTCCACCTTCATGGCTGTATGCCTGACTTAGCATCCGCAGGAGCATAGGAGCGAATGAAACTATGGATTGAAGAATCGTTCCCTCGCATGACTTGCACTAGCGTAGTTGCCGCTGCAATTTCGACCACCACTGGTCCGGCTTCCATCAGGGATGGGGCGCTGATGAGCCGAAAGCGACGCGGTCCAGCAACCTCCTCATCTCAGCTTTCAGCTGCGAGCTGCCGGGTGCAAGTGACTTGCAGGCGGGGCCAGACGTCAATGACAGTTTTGGGGCAGCAAAGCTGGGATGTTGTTTGAGATGTCGATCAAGATGCTGTGGATGATTGTGGATGTGTTGAGGAGCTTTGGTCGAGACTGGAAGCAGAGGCACGACCGAACACGGCAGTTTGAACAGTTGAACACGTCCTGCCCAAGCCACACGTTGCCTGACGGAGGTGGACGACGTTCAGGAAGTTCCTGTATGTAGGCAGGCTGCCAGGGTCAGCATCTTGCATGCAACAGCTCGGAACTGCAGAATTCATGTGAGTGCATGGGGCACGTGTTCCGCACGTGTCCCAGGTCTGCGTTGACAACACCCTGACATCTGTACTTCCAATACATGTAAAGCCACAATTCGTGCCCGTTTGCTTGTGCTTCCGAAGTGGGGTCTGAACCGGTTTTGCTTTGTGCAGTTCACGTTGCCTTATGGTGCAGCCCGTCCCCTCTTCCAGCCACCCCTCCTCTTTGCCCTCCACCCGCACCCAGCCTCCATCCACCAATCATCCCCTCCGTCCGTGCCACCCCATGTCGAGTCTCACTGCCGGCATCCACCGGCCGTGAAGGTGGGACTGGGCTGATGCTGAGAATGCTGAGGCTTGTGAGATGCTCAGAACGAAGATTCCACCATTTTCGGCTCATTCCGTTGTCATAGACCTGAGGTGCACGACATGGTAGCTTTGTCGAAGGGGCGGACCTTTTCGATGGAACCTTCTTTGGCGCCTGGGCAAGCAAGGGAATCGTGGATTTCGAATAGCTTCTTCCATGTTCAGACTGTTTGCCAGGCCTGCAGCCAGCAGAAGCACAGGCTGGGCCAGGGCGACTAATATGGAGACTCTGATCCATCAAAGACTGGGAGGCTACGGACCCGCAGCAGCGGCTGTTGCAAGCGGCTCAGAGGGGCAGCGCATGGGAGCAGGAGCAAGGGATCCAGAAATCAACAGGATCTGTTTTATCATTGCTGGCCTGCTGGTGCTTTGGTTACTTTGGTCCCCGTCCTTATGGAAGCCTTGCAAGATTGCTTTATGAACAAGATCATGCCATAAAGAGGACTTGCATTGCGAGTCTTTTCCACACCCGTCATGCGAGCATTGTGTTTGCAAATGGGGGGCGGGGCGTCTGCGGCCCCCAACCCCCACGCAACCCCACGTTGTATTTACTCTGATGCCATGCAAGCTTGCTTTATAACAGGAGATCATGCCATAAAGAGGACTTGCAACAAGAAACCTGCGAATCCTTTCCAAACCCGCCATGCGAACCCATCATGCCAGAATTTGTGTTTGCAAATGTGGGGGGTGCTGCGCCCCCCCAACCCCGCCTTCATTTTTCTGTGAAGACGTGCATTCTTGTTTAATCAAGAAGATCATGCCATAAAGAGGACTTGCGTTAGGAACGCATGGGAATCCTTTCCGTCATGCCAGCATTGTGTTTGCAAATGGCCCCCTCCCCCAACCCTTCGGTGTTGAAGCCTTGCAAGCTTGCTCTATGAAGAAGGTCATGCAATGTATGCAATGTAGAAGCTTGCGCTAGGAGAACATGGGAAGCCTTTCCAAATCCGTCATGCGAGCATTGTGTTTGCAAATGGGAGGGGGGCTAACCACCCCCTAACCATTCGGGTTGAAGCCTTGCACTCTTTCTCTCCTAAGAAGATCATGCCGCATGCCATTTAGAAACTAGCGTTCTTAAATCCTGACCTAATTGTTTAGTTGGTGCACCAGGTGTCGGCGTGGGCGTTGTGCGACGTTTCCCTGGCAATCAAACCACGAGCTAAGTGTTTTGGGGCTTTCAGTCTCGGGCATCTAGCTGAAAAACGGTTTTGAACTCCTGGCATCAGCGTTGTCCACTTCATGCGGGCACAGATCAGAGCCCTAGCAAGCCGCGCCAGTGCGCTGTCCATAAACCACTGTCTGTGCTCAGGCTACGAACAAGTTACAAGGCATTGGCTGGGTCTGGACATGATAAGGCGGATGGAGCCACTTCTGCCGTGCATCCCATGTTCCCAAGCTGAGCTTTGCAGGGTACGTTGCTGGGCGCCCCACACGGGGTCTTCGCTGCGGTAAGCAACCAGGAGAAGCCGGAACAAGCCTGGCAGTCCCGTGATCTCACATACATTGCATATGGTGTTTGGAAGACGCCGACAACGTCGACAGGACTGGCATACATGGTCATTCAGCGAGGGTCGAGTTGGTGCTTTCACAGGCCGACGTTTCGAGGGTCGAGAATGCGCAATTGCATAATGTGTTGTGGCCACCTGCTGTACTGTCAGCTGCCTTCTGCGATGCAGGCACTGGAGTCGCTGCAGCGCTGGCCGCGAACCGCATATCCTTTTCCTTGGGTCTTCGTGGGCCCAGCATGACGATCGACACCGCATGTGCGCGCTGAGCTGTGCTGTGCTGTGCTGTGCTGTGTGAGTGCATGGGCTTAGACTAAGGGGTTTTCCGTCCAAAGTCTCGAGTTTCTCTGGATCTGGCAACAACGGTGCTTGGCAAGTGCAGTTATGTTTTGTTTTTGTCAGCATGTGCACAGGATTGTACAGGCTTCTTCATGGAGAGTTGGCACCCTGTTCTCATCACAATTGAAGCAACTCATGTCAATTGACCACGTCCCAACCTTTCTCCAAACATTTGGGGCGCGAAGGTATGACCAACTCCACAAGCGCAAGCAAATCAAACGTAGGAGCTCGAACAGTGTGCGGTCGTGCACCCTTAGCCAGTAGCGATTGTAGCGACTCGTTCTATCCGGGGCGTCTCGGTCATGGCTGTCTGATTTCCTCACGATGCTCTCACAATAGTTCCCCTCAGCAGTCGGCAGGTTCTTCGTCGCTTACAGCTTTGTCAGCCGCGTCAGCACAACTGCAGAATCCGACAGCAGGCCTGCAGCATCCCGATTCTAGGTTCGCTCTGCTGAACTGCCCTGCTGGCCCCAGTCTGCTTGCAAGGACGTACAATTTCTAATACTTGCGCTTTAAGAAGACATTCGGGCTTTGTGGGTTTGGTCTTTGGGTTCAGGGCTTGGGGACTGGGATGCGACGCCGACACGAGGGTGCAAACAAGCATTGGGTGGTTCTCGCAATGCAAAACATGCTTCATGTAGCAGCACAAAGCCGATGTAAATCGATGTTTGCCGCGTGGACGCCTCATGTTGACAGTTGTTTTGCTCGGAGACTGCACAGGAGTCAAAATCGTGATCAACGGCGTGTGCAATATTGATATGAGCCGCTACTAGATTTGCTGGGTGTACCGTGCTGGCATGATCTGGTTGCTCGCATGTTTTGGCCCTACCAAATGACATGATCGAAGGCCGCGCATCTCGTCGTCGCGTCCGAGAATCTGTCGCAATCACAGAGTTGTTCTGCAAAGCATGTACTCAAAGACATAGAGCAACAGTCCCCAAGCCTGTCTTGGACGGTGACCACAGACGATAGCAATGCAACTTTACGAGCATTTTTCATGATTGAGTTTGTAACCGCGAATTCAGACTGAAACCAGTGCCTCTTGGCTGGAGCTGCCGAGGTTGCAGCAGGGTGCGAACTGCTGTTGCTAGCTCAGGGACTGCAACGCTAGCGTTGTTGTGTCATTTTCGGCAATGAACTATGCTGCAGAAAAGTTGCATGAGTTACTCACAGGCTTGGCCCCAAGTCCATGCAGCTGCGCCATGCTGCTGGAATGTTGTCGTGACAACCTGAGCTGCGAACTGGCAGAACTGCGCCTTGCTCTAGTCTTGCCTTTTGAGGCCAACTGGTCGCTGCAAGACCTTCAACGCAACAGCGGATGGCTATGTTAGGCAATCCCTGCTTCAACGAGAATGCAGTAGAATCAGGCTGCATTTCACTGCTTCCTTTATCTGGACTGCTACACTGCTATACGCTGCTTCCAAAGCATAGTGACTCTGCCAGCCCGTCCCAGCAACAGCGACCGTGTTTTGAGAAGTGGCGATGTCTGCAAGAAAGAATTGCGATGCACACATGCATGCGAGCACGGACACCATTATAATCATTATAAGTTGATAGGTGAGTAGCCGTAGCCGTAGCTTAGGACCGGTAGTGTACAGTGTACCATTTGTACCATAGCTTGGCACTAGCAGCACAAAGACCTGCCCAGTACTCTGGAGCCTCGCCTGTCTGCACAAAGGTGAGAGCTCGCGACTTGGGGTGGTTTAGGGTCGTGAAGGGTTGCTGTCGTCGTGCGTTCGTCCGGTAGTGCGGGCTGCCGCCCAAGCCGCATGCCATTGCTCATGAGGTGCGGGCTCTACCAGAGTCGCACGCGACACCCTCACCCTACCCCATTTGCCGCGTTGCTGAAGTGCTTGACGCACTATGAGCTCTTGGTGAGCCGGAAGCCTCGGCTGAGGGGCGAATGTGAGCAGGTCAAAGCATGCATGGAGTGCTTGCTTAGTGCTAGTGCAGCTTGTTGTTTTCCTTTGCATGTGTAGTTTTGCAATTCGTAACAATGCCAATATTTTGGCTCAAGTACCGAGCTTGTGCCTTTGAGCACGGTAGAGTCGTCCAGTAGCTCCTAGGTTGCTGTGCGGTCCGACCGGACGCACTCAGGCGTAGCTGCACAAGTGCTTGGACTCACGAAGTCGTAAAACAGCGTGACCGGGCTGTGATTGCATTGGCTTAGTTTCTGAGGATATGCACAGATGCGCATCTACACTCGCATATACTCGTACTTATACTTGTCAACTTCACTGCCTTGGGTCTCAGTCAAGATGATACTCGCAAGTCTGAGCGCAGGGGCGAAGGTTGTGGAGTCCCAGACCCAGCTCCATGAGAAAAATGAATCACCACGGATCATTGCTTGCGTTGGTTTGTGGACTGTCTGCATCAGCCGTGAGGCCACCGTGCTCACGACAGGAGAGAACACATCCTGGACTGGGATGGCCTGTAGCTTTGTTCAGTGCTCAAGCAAGTGTTGGACAGCCTCTGCGTGTTCGATGCGAGGTGCTGCTTTGTGCAGCTGCCATTAACCAGGCGCCCCCCCCCCCCCCCCCCCCCCCCCCCTGGTGTTTTTGTTAGCACACAATACGTAGCTTGGCAGGGTGTCCAGAGAAAGACGAAAGGGTTGTTTCCTGTGATCCTGTGTATGATATCAATCTTGTGTTCCGAAAGCATGCTGGCGGCCAGGATGGACGGAGTGCAACGCTCACAGCGCCCAACAGATATTCGCAACAAGACGCTCCGTTCTGAGTCTGGGACAGTAGTAATGGGCTTGCTCTGGGTGTCGACATTTTCTTGCTGCGCAGTGCTGTGCACATGCTTCAGTCACTGCCATGGTTCAGCGCCGCTTAGAATCGTGTGTCGTCTTGTACTCATCCACTCGATCGCAGGTTCGACATTTTGCGAAACGGTGCTGTGGGTTGTCAGACGTCCTGCAGTTCTGAACACAGCTGAATCACAACTGAACACGTGAAGGGCTGTGCACATTTGTGCACGCGCTTGCTTCCTCACATGTCTTCACAGCAAGGCTCCATGTCAAAGAGGCAAACAGTGCGGCTTCTGAAGCTGTGACACCGGCTTCGTGAGCGACATCCCGCAACTTTTCCTTTCTCCGAATCTCAGGGTCGTTCCGCGGGGATTCCCCGATTTCGCACGTCAGAGGCCAGACACACTCGTCGAGGAATTTTCGCGGCTCGTCGTCCGCGGTAACGAGGGAGGCTAGGTTTCCTCAAAGTTCTGCAAAAGCAAGCTGAGGTCATCTTGGATGCTTTGGCGTCCTGAGCTCGTGAGATCTAGAGCTATGGCCACATGCAGCGTAAATCGGGCTCGTAAGGATCGCAGGCATCCCCGCAGTTTCCGTGGGCATGGTCGAGTGCCATGGCACTGGAACTGCCCTTGGTGATCCCATCGAGGACAGCGCACATCAGCGCGCATAGTGCATCGTGCACTAGCCACACTCTGCGAGTCTTCCTCTGGGCTTTTGCGTTCCGTCTTTGTTCTTGCATGGTGAACGGGTGTGATCGGATGTGCACACGGAGGCAGGCGCCTTGGCTGCCGTTTTGGGCACCTCGAAGGCCGAGGCCGAAAGCCTGGAAAGCTTATCTTAATCGACAAGTCTGAAGGCATATTCCTGACAGTCCTGACATCTGCGATCCTCCTGTGTGATGCCAACGGGCCGCTAGGATCCACTGTGGCTGGCTGCAGGCAAAACCAATCTTGGACACCTTGAGGCGAAGTCAAGTCCGTAAAGTCCGTGCTTATCTGTAAGTTGGAATGATTAAACGGCGCTCTGTCAGGCAGCGGCTGGTTTTGCGGGTGCTGCCAAGGCTTTACGAATTAAAGTGCCGTGTAGTATCGTGTAGCACACTTGAAGTGAGCAAGCATGGATCCAGTGTCTGCAAAGGTGATCTCCTGCTTGCAGCACGGCAGAGTCACCTCCAACTTACATTTTGCAGAGCTCAACCCTCATGTGGACCTGGATGGCCTGGCCGTGCCTGGGGTAGCTTCTTGCTTGAAGGTGGAAGTGGGTTCTTGTGCGGTTCGCTTGCTGAGATCTATTGAGAAACTTAAACAACTGCACACCCGACTGGCAGCAGATTGCCCGGAAGTACTGATGTCCTCCAAGCAGCACCTGTTGCATTCCAGTCTTCACAGTCTTTAATTTTCATGTCTTTACTTGGCCTAGCAGCCTTGGCAAGCGCATGCGCCCCAGCTGTAGCAGCTGGAGCAACGAGGGCCCGGCTCATGCACAAGAAAGGTAAGCCAGCTCCTTCAAACACCAGAAGATGAGCTGATATCAGGCCTGCTGGATGTTGTAATCACCATGATCCCAGCGTCGCGGGTGAATACACCGTCCGAAAGTGATTTGCCATCGGTGCTCTAGTGCTGTTTTTTAGTCTTCATATGTCTTCATACTTGCACAGCTTGAATAGAGATTTCGCGCATACTGCGATGTTGCAATTGCAGTGCCTCTGTCAGGCTTATCTTCTTTTGGATTCGGAGGAAGCAATTCGCATGTGCTTCTGGCAAAGTCGAAGCCGGCTCTTCTGGACAAAGGCCAGCTCTGCATGCTGTGAGGACTCCAAGTGCTTCACACCTTCAAGACAGGAGAAAGGCGAGCGTCGCGGCGTGCTCCCCGAGCACACGTCTGAGACAGAAGCGGTGCAACACTGTACTGAATCGTTTCAAGCCAGATCCAAGATTTCTCTCCGGCTCAGGTTGCAATGCTCTTCACTGGTCAGAGCACTCTGAGGCAGACCACAGTGACCACAGTCAAGACATGCAAGATGACATAGAACAGCGCGCTCAATGAAAGGACACGACATTGCAATATTTATCGCACGAAGGCCAGACTCGATAGGCTCCACACTCAAAACAATGAGCCGCTAAAAGCTGCGAGAGCCATTGCAAGCCAAGAGCAACACATCGATGCGCCAGCTGGTATGGCCACCAGGGTGAGAGAAGCCTTTTGCAGAAGGTGCTGTAGTGCAGTAGTATGCAGTAGTGCTGTACCCACAAAATCCGAGATCAGATCCGAACAAATCCGACCAATGTGTATACCAGGTGACAAGCCTGGCATCTAGCCAGCGATGCTGTCACAGCAACACCATACCCCAGAAATTGCAACGAGGGCCATTCTTTTGGACCAGATGCCATTCACGCATTGATTTCTGCCTGAAAGGAAAAGGCTTATGTGCCAGCTGAAAGCCCAGGCTTTTGCACACTTGTAGAAAGTTAATTGAAGTCGTTAAGCCATATGTGCTGATTCTTCCCAAGCCCTTTCAGATCTATAGGGCCAAAAAGTTAGGTTGATCAAACTTGCGCAGCTCACAGACATGTAAGTCTTTCGAACTCCTTACATTGGAAAGCCTATTACTCAAGATTGGAGTCTTCATTGCTTCATGACATAGGCAAAGATGTTCTTAAAGTCATTGAGATCCGCAGGGAGCGTGATTTTTTGGAGCGACGACACGAAGTCTCGCCTTTCTGGGCGAAGACGCGAAGACTCGAGTTCTGCTCGAGGACTGAACTTCCTTGTGAAGACGGACACAAAGACGTCACCAAACCTGCGGCATCAGCGGCACTTCACGGCGTCACGATATTCATGACGTCAAGGGCGCACATGGCAGAACGACGGCATCAACGGCACGTAGAATACTCACAGCATCTCGCAGCGTGTTCTTTGCTTCGTACCATTTAAGGTGAGCTCCCCCCCAACCCTGCGCTCATATTTGTAACTTTGTTTTCAAGCGTTCTGTCCGAGCATCATGCCGTCCGATCATTATGTATGCAAGGGTGGACACCATCATTATGTCTGCCATCTGATCACTATATGTTTGTCGTCTGATCATTATGTTTGCAAGTGGGGGGGTGCCCTCCCCCCACCCACCAACCCACCCCCGCTTGTATTTTCAAGTGTTGTTTTTGCAAGCGCTCCGACCATTGTTTGAAAGTCGGGGGGGCGGAGGGGGGAGGGGCTTCAACCGCTTGCTTGTATCTCTAATTGGTGTTTTGCAAGCGATCATTATGTTTGCCATGCGATCCTTACGTCCCCGGCCGTGCGGAGCAGATCTCTGCAGAAGGGTCTGGTTGGGACCGCGCAGCTTCTCTGGGGTATTGGCCTGATGCCCGGCTGTCCCAGTAGCTTCACGCAAAAGCGGACGTTACACTTGGAACTAGGTTGCCGCAATACAAGCGAATTTTAGAGCAGAAATCTCCACCGGGTTGAGATCCAGCTCAGGAGTTCAGGAGTTTAAGGGTTAGGGACTTAGGGTTTAGGACGTTTAGGGATTATCAGTTGTAGCTTAGGGTGTGCGGGGGGGAGAACACACGTTGCACGACCATGGAATATACCAGCCTCGAGAAGCGAGTCAAGTCTGCAAATTCAGGGTCGAATGAAGCCGACAGTGAGGCTCATATGGGGCTGATGGCTGGGGCGGTTCATATTTTGGAAGACCAAAACGCTTGCTGGTCGATGGGTATGTGACGGCGTGCGGCGGCGGATTGCAATTTCTTGGAAGGCCAGCGTTGGGCAAAGAGCTCTATTCTGCCAATGGTGCCTTCCGTGCGGCACTGGACCGCTGCGCCCAGAACTCAAGGACTCAAAAGGACAACGGACAGCAAACGCACAGCAATGAGAATCTTCGTTTGTCCTCCTCTTTCCATTTACGACACTTCTCCATCGGCTGTTGTTTGTCATTAGGCTGCATTATGTTCAGACCACCTGACGGACGGCCTTCTAGATGTCCTCTTTTCTGCAGCTTCCTCAGCTGTACTGCTTTGACAAAAAGTGATTGTTTCTCGGAAGAATCTTGGAGTGAGCTGAAGGACACGAATGCTGCAGCGAATTGTAGTTGTCTCAGCGAAGTGTCGCCCAGTTGACTGCGAGAAATTATGACAAGTGTAAGCTAAGGTCGGACTTCCTTCACAGCCATCTTCTGCATACAGTATGCACTTGTCCAGGGCTGAGGCATCCTTTCGTAATGAAAAGACGTTAGAGACCAAACCTCTGTTGAATCCCCACGGCTTGCCTTGAATGCGCTTTCAACGAAATCTTCGGTCTACCGCCCATCTTGTCATCATTCTTCATCAGCAGAGGTTGAAGCCTGGCGAGCATGGGGCGTGCGCCCGCATGCAGTTCTCGGGCACAGTGCGCGACCCAGCGCCAGTCTCACAAGTTCGGGTGAACACGCATTCTCACAGCCGAGGTTTAGGTGAATATGCAGCGGCAGTGGCGGCTGGTGTCTGAAACTTACGACGAAAGGTGTCTCTGCAAAGGTTTGCAGATTGCAAGTCTTTTGAACAGTTTTCTTGCTCATGTGCTGCATGTACACAGCTGCTAAAGATTGCTGCGCATGTGGATACTGGCCTAACCTGGCCTAAAACCTTGGGCATCCATCTTCGGACAAGATACATCTCACTCCAGCGGACGAATCGCGAGTACTGAAAAGTGAGTAGTGTCTTCCCCAGCTCTTATCGCAAGAGTTGTTGAATTTCTGTGGCCGGAGACTGGTAGGTGGACCGTTTTTTTGGGAAAGCGCTTGCCCAAAATGTCCCTCATTACCCACTGCTTGCCGCAATCCTCATGTCCAGCCCAGGTCATGTCTTTGGAAGATGGGTTTGCAACCGAGTGATGCAAGTGTCCGATGAGCCATGTCAACTGTTTGCGGAGAGGCGTCATATGTGGTGTCAACTTTTGAAGTGGACCTTCGGGCACAGTGCCGTGCTGTTCCTTGCCGTGCCATCTGCAAACCCAGGATTCGTCTGGTGATGGCACGAGGGCGACTTCTCGATGAGCTGCAGCTGCCTCAGCGCGGGATGTTCCATCTCGAAAGCAGAAAAAAGCCGCTGGGCAGCGTTTTGCGAGGTGTGACAGCCACGAGGGCTCAATGGCTGCCATCTTCGCGTCACGTCAAGAGGCTCGGGCGATGCGCTTCTACACGGCTGACACGGCAGGGGTGATTTTCATGCGACGACTATTCGCAGGTGAAGCTCGCCATGGTCAGGTGCTTGCACTTGCAAACATTTCCACCTCTTGCCTTGTTTTAAACAGTGAACCAACAACTAGCTGCAACTGCCGAGGACAGGGTTCAGACTTCAGCAAGCAGCAAAGACTTAAGCATTGCTGCGATCAACAGTCCCAATCAGACGGCCCAGCGCTAAGTCGCCGACATGTCGGCGCCGATGGTGCCCTCTTGTAAATCGGAATCCTGCATCCGGCGAAGGTGATTTCTGGCCGTGCCAGCCTTGTCGAGGCCCATCGTCTGCTTGCGTGAACGCAGCTGTTCCTTGATATTGCGATTCTGCCCTCTGGACTTCGCATAGGTTTTTTTCAACATACTTCCACCACACATGCCAGGATTTGTGCAGTCTCTTTCCAAGCAGAAGCAAGAAGCTAGCGTCGCAAGGTCCTCAGCTGTAGTAGAAAGTACATTTGCGCAGTGTCACAGTCTGTGCGTATGTGCGCGGTTATGTGTGTGTGTGTGTATCACGACGCGAAAAAGCAGTTCAGTGCTCAAGCAAGTATAGCCTTGATCCCTCACTCCGAGATGCAGGAGCTTTTGGCAGGCAGGAGTCGTTTTGAGACAACACATCGTCACCTTTGCCCAGGGCAGTCAGCGGCGTTGCAAGCGTTGCAAGGCCCGATGTTGCAGCTGACGGCGCCCGCTTTGACCGAAGAGGTTCCATCAGACCATTAATACAGTACTCATATTGTTCATGAGGAAAGCAACACGATGATGCAGCAAACGTCAGCAATCATCTTCCTCCGCAGGCACATCTCTTCCTCCCAGCAGGTGCAGCACGATCATCGTCACGCCAGCACCCTAGAACTGAACCCGTCTCCCTGAGTCCCCAACCAATCCTTGAGTCAAGGCCCTGCCAGCGCATCCTGGGCATCACCCCATCGAGAGCTTTGGTTCACATTAGTGCCTGAGTTGTGCTGACATGAAAATGTCAGATGAGCCAGTTTGAACTTCTCGGGCTGCGGCAAAAGTGGAAGGCAGAGATTTGCTTGGCAGCGGGTCTAGGGACAATTGGTGCAATTCAGCGGCATCGGCAGTGGACCAGAAGGCGTGCTGATGAGGCCTTGGAGAGAAATAGGGGGGAGAGAGCTCTTCGCACAAACGCTAAAACCTTCAGTTCTTACGTGAAAATATCGGGGAGGTAGAGAGCTTCTCGTCGAAGCCTCTTCAATTCTTGCGTCGAGTCATCTTTCCCATCCGTTTTTTGTAATTTCTGCCTTCGGCCACTTCTTTTGCTTTTCTATATGAGCCTCCCATGGAATGATTGCAAAGATCATGAATCCTGGATCTTTGAAAGCAGGCCCCGGATCGTGCTGAAGAGTGGCCTCTCCACCTGTACAAGGCCCCACCTTCCTGAGAAGAGCGTGCTGGCCAGCTGACCACTTTGTTGCACGCGGAGGAATCTCCAGACGTGACCACTGACAGCCTTGGCCTGGACACAATCTCAGACGAGTCCGTGCGGCAGCTGTTGGAGGTTGGTGATTTCAGGTTTGCAAGGAAAGGCCGCTTCCGGTGTCCCGGCGAGCCGGGAAGCACCAAGCATAGCCAATCATCACTGCTGCTGATTCTGCTCCTGCTCCTGCTTTGCTGAAGTTCAGCACAGCTTGTCGGCCCGTGCAGAGGCGTGTGCGGCCATGGACCAACCTGCAGCACTACCGTCGCTCAGATGCCAGTCGATGAGCGCATATTAACGCCAAGCGCTCCGCCTCGGCACAGCCTGCACGTTCCTATAGGTATTCGCAGGTGTCCATAGGTGGCCCATGGATAGGTCCACGGACGAAGAGGTGGTTGCGGTGGCCAAGCACGAAGCAAGTCCGAAACAGGAACAGGGATTCGGTATCGATGTCAAGCAGCGTCAAAGCCAAGTCCACCGGAGGGGCGGCCGAAAGGCATGTTCAGGGCGTCCAACGAACAGCCGCTGCAGGGGTGTTCATAGCGTCTCATGGGAGGGGGGGGGGGGGGGGGCTCATGGCAGCAAAGGCGTCCTGAAGGGGGTCGTCGGGAGGTCCATATAGGGATCCAGAAATCATAGGCAGGTAAATGGTTGAGTCCAGAATTCGGTCGTCAGGAGATGCGAGTCCATAACTGCCACAGCTCTGTGGTCCGAAACCAGGAGGTCCTTCCAAACGAGCCGATCCAGACCAAACAAACTGGCTCTTGGTTATGAAATTATAAGGCTGTCAGGGAGGGATTCAGGACCAACGTCTTAGGCCTGGAGCGGATCTCATCAGTTGCTGGTGACTTCTTGCACTTTCATGTTCTGGCCTAGGTTCCTGGATCCACCGAGATATCGGGAGTTCATTGTAAATGTGCCCGGCGATGCTGGCTTTGACCCGTTCTGCCTTGCGAAAGCCTTCGCCTGAGCCGTGTAAGTTAGGAGCAGAAGTGCGCGATAGTGTGCGCTCCTCATGAAATGCCAACTCAGGACTTGGCGACGTTCAAATGGATGCAGGAAGCCGAGCTGAAGCACGCGCGGGTTGCCATGCTGGCCACGGTGCTGTGGCCACTTTCGGAGCTCGACCTCTCGGCCCTCAAGCTGCCCTTCCTAGATCTGTCAGGCTGAAGCGGCGTGAGTAGAATTCCTGTGCTCAACTGCTCCATACCTCTCCTGATCTCCTGCAACTCTGGAAGGCACAACGCTTGATGGTGCACCCATGGGCATGTTCTTTGGCACGGTCTCCTTGGGCGTTGCGATCATGGAGCTCTCCAAAGCACCTGAGAGCCCTCCGGGATTCTACAGCTTCGACCCCTTGAGCTTGAAGGACATTCCGGCACTCTCAGCCATGCAGTCACGTTCCTTGCGTGGCACATTGATGTCCCGAACAACTTAGGTGACAGAAGGAGTAGGTCGGGGCTCCATCCAACGAAGCTCCCCCTCACACTCCAGGAAACTGCACCTTTCCCCGCCCTCTTTTCCCCCCTGAGTCCCGTCGTGGGAGGCTGCGGGGAGGTGGGGTGAACGGTGAGGCCCTTCCAGCCCCACCCTAATGAAAATGTGGCTGTGTTCTTCGGCTCGACCACACCACATGGATCAGGCCTTGCTTATCTCACAACAAGAACATGTGCATGGTATGTGTATATGGCGCCAATATCAATTGCTTGTAACAGGATCGCTGCCCACAAACGCGACATACCCCGTTATGTAAGGTGTATATCAATGCCCTGGTGTTTGCGACACGACAGACCGGCTTGTTGTTGTCTTGTTTTGCACGGCCCCCTTGTAGCTCCCAGTCGTGCAAGTACGCGCGACAGAGGTCTGCATCAAGACGGGCGTTACGTAGGGTCTGTAGCAGATGCGTGCGCGCGAGCTCCGCGACAACTGGGGGTTTTGGCACATGAGATATTCTCTGCATCTGGATCCGACTGCAGGATTTCGAGATGCCTATGGCTTGCTGGCTGCCGCAAGGCAGACGTTGGACAGCAGAAGCTGAGCTCAAACATGGGCGGCTGGCGATGCTTGCTGCCCTAGCCTTTGCCTTCACGGAACTGACCACGAAGGCTGACTGCCTCCAGCACAGTTTCAGCATAAAGGCTCTGAAGGCATGATCTCCACGTCTGATGATGTCTGATGTGACAACTGAGGTTCCAATCATCAGGCAAGCGCCGTTCCACTTCAACTGACTTCCAGCAAGCTGGTACAATCGTGTAACAGTATCCAGCCTATCAGCTAAGTCCTAACAAAGTTCATGAAGCTTCATGTTGCAAAAACGTGCCGCGTTCCCAGTCGCTATAGGCACCGTTCGCCACTTGCTCACAAGAGCTGTTCATGCCACAAATCGTGGAAGATGCTCAAGCCCAGCCGTTCCTCACAGAGCCGAGCCGCAACCGGCAAAGAGTGCCAAAACGAAACGCTCAACGTTAATGAGCCCGCTGGTTCTCATGTGCCTTTCATGTATATAGACCATCCCAGCTCTTTACCACCTGCCTTTGGCTCTTCGCCTGTCGGCAGCCTGTGATTGTGCAAAAATTCCAGAGGCAATCATGATGCCCTTAATGATGCTACTTCCCAGTTGAGCCCTACTGGACGCTGGTGAGGTTATTAGCTAGGTGTTGCAGCTTGACTCAGCTTGAGTTATCGCTCAGATGAACATTCTGCACTGCTTGATGCAGACGTTAGCAACTTTGTCGCTGGGGTAATTCTCTGGGGTCGTAAAATGTCAGAGCTGCAATATGCACAAAGGCCATCAGCCGCTTTGCTTCGTGCTTGTTTTCCAGCTCGCGAGCAAGTTTGGCATGGCGTAGTGATGCGTTCTGCTGAGTTCCAGCCGAGTGCGAAAACACCCCAGAGTGCAATGTACTGCTAGCACCGTGCTCATAGAAAAGCAGCTGTAGCGAATAAACAATAATCGCCAGCATGCTCTGACTGCCAAGCCCTCGTGAGTTCGAGGACAGCGACCGACGGCTTTCATTTCGCAGCATTGCGATCGAAGACTGCGAGACTAAGCCACCTTCTCATGTCGTGTCAGCAGTATGTCAGCACACAATTGGCAAAAAGACAAAGGGGCACAATCGTGCATGTCTATTTGGAGAGAGGCCTGTACCCTGTCTTCCAGAATGGCACAACCGAAGAGAATCGAATCTCCCTCTGATCACAGTCGGAGTTGAGCTAGTCATAGATCGGATATGCAAGAATGACGTTCTCACATCAGCACGGAGCTACGAGACCTTAAGTGGCAGTGGGCTTTGCGAATGACATACGGCCGCATCATGTGGTATTGATTGGCTTGGTTCCTTGGCAGCAATGATGAGGACCGTTGCATCAAGTTCTCCAGCACTGCATCATCTGAGGTGATGCTGCGATGCATATCATGGCCGATCTTTCTGAGTCACAAACAAGCCGAGAAGCGTCGCCGAAAAAAAGAAGCCGCATGCAGCACCTCAACAGGCCTATTGAATTACAGCCTTGGCCGCGCAGCGCGTTCGCAGGCGTCAGTATGCGTTGTAGACCATCAGACTGCCAGACGAGGTGCCACGCAATGCACTCGCACCTTCTCTCTTCCATCCTGCCAGGATGCAAGAGAAGACTGCAAGCGCTGTGATTTTCGCAACTCAGCAGTTCTGAGTCGTACATGCACAGTATCTCCATCAGGACTGGAACAGGAGCTGCAGGCCGATCAAGCATGTCAAATTTGCGCTTTTTTGGCTCTTGTCAATGTGACTTCATGCCCCCATGTCAGAAGCAAGCCGCGTTGACAACAGGCTTCATCCTTCTCCTGCCCAGACGAAGACATTGCTTTCGTGCAAATCCTATGATGATTTTGCAGTTTTTCCACGTTTTCCATGCGTTCCAGTCAGGGTCCGTCGGGGTACCGCGAACATCCGTGAACGTGAACACTTGAGTCCGAGGTCTCCTGCCTCACGGGAGCTCATGAGACCAACGAAGTGGCGCAGCCAGCGTATTGGCTCAGTGCAGATCTTACTGAATGTGCCCCGTGCAGCTATCATAGGAGGTCTTTTGCCTTTCATGTCTCGAGTCGTTCTGCGAAATGAACTATGCTAGTGAAATATCACGACATGCATATTTACCTTGAGGTGCAAATCCTCCTGCAGCAGTCTGTACATCCTTGCCACATTTTTTCCGACATAGCCCCCCAGGCCCTTTCTAGACACCTGGAGACTACCAGTAGCTCTCTTAAGCTCATGACCCCACAGACAGAGTCCTGCCCTCAAATGGTCCGAAAATTCAGAGAGACAAGCTTCTGTTGCACAGACTTCTGCTTGGCCACCTGCTTTGCACACCCCACCCACACACTCAGACACACGCACACACGCGCATACGCACATGCACACATGTTACTCATACTCCATCTCACGATGTGGGTTAAATGGATGCAGCTCAGCACCCACCCAACCCGCTCAAACAAAGGTGACTTGTTTTGTTCGTTCTCGGCAGATATCGGTATGGAAACCTGATGCGTTGCGGCTACGTTTGGCACAAACAGGGTGATTGAGCGATTAAGGCCCACGTTGGCCGCCGATCAGCAAGAATTCGGCACTTGCAGCGAGACTGACGACGGCCGAGTACCAGAGTGCACGACCAGCAGCCCCTCGAAGTGCACCGCTCCTTTTCACGGCAGGTTGTCCACCACGCTTGGAAGAAATTTACACATCAACAATCATCGAAACAGAATTTCAGCGTCGGTGTGATTCGGACCGACCTTGTGCACTTTCGGATCTCCTTCGGTGTTCATTTCAGTGTTTCGCACAGCATCGTGCGCTTAGTCGCCTTTCGCTTTAGTGCCTTAGTGCACAACTTGGCAGCATGAGCATGCATGAGCCGTATGGCTCTTGCACGGGTGATTCCTCCGACCAAGGCCACGACACAGCGCGTCCGGTGGAGTTCATTCGTGCAGCACGCGCCCCATGCCAGACCCAGGAATGCATTCGCAGGTGAGAGCTTTGGTGCATCAAGTGACTTGTCAGATGAAAGCGCTGGCTGATTCCTCCTGCAACTCCTACATCGAGATCGGTGCAGACCTGAGTGTTTCGGGCGGCAGATGGGAGTCCGATGTTCGAGTCTCATCCATGACATGGACTAACGGAGGCCAGTCTACGACACGAGCTAGGACTAGGAATACCTTGAAGCCCTAAAACCACGCAAACTTGCTAGGACCCGTGCTGGTAGGGCCCATCTCTGTTTCATGATATGTTCGGTTCACGTGCCTTGGGGGCTCTGCATGCTCACTGCCTCCAGGCCCGCACCCAGTGTGCCCCCGGCCAAGATTGCGCGATGTGCCAGCTTCCTTCTTTAATGTTGACTCATGATAGGTAAGCTTGCCAGACCTTAAGGGAGAGACCAATTGAAAGGCACAACATCGACTAAAAGACTTGTTAAAGGGACAAGGCTAGGCTCCGTAAATCTGGGTTTCCAGAAGTCTGCCCGACTCATAAGAGGGCAGAAGCACAGCCAAAAAAGTATGATTGGGGAGGCCCGACTAATCGGGGGGGGGGGCGGGGGGGGGGGGGGGGCGGGGGGGGGGGGGGGGCGGGGGGGGGGGGGGGGGGGGGGGGGGGGGCGGGGGGGGGGGGGGAGGCGGGGGGCAGTGGGGTGGGGGGGGGTTGTTGAGATCTGGGAAGGTCTGGGGTGGACCCGACTATTCACGGCTGCTTTACCAATATGGGATCTTGAGATGGGGGGGGGAGTTGTTTCAGTCTGTATGTAATAATATACATGACATGTATATTGTACATTGTATATGTATATATACATACATACATACATACATACATACATACATACATACATATATAGACTCTGCTTCGGGGGCTGAGAAGCTCGTTGATCAGGTATGGGAAGTAGAGAGGTGCATTCGGAAGTCCAGTAAGTAGGGCTACCGTGAGATTCCCACAGCCTCAAGAGTCTCAAGAGTCGGTTGTTGCCAATTGAGGGAGTTCTGCTGCGGCTTGGCGGCTTGGGAATGGTTGCAAAACTGAATGGAAGTAACCGGAGCTCGTGTACTCGACCTGTGAGAGCTGCTGGATGCTGCAGATGCAAATTCCATGCAGTGGTCGAGGCACGTGCGCTCAATATGTTGCGCAATAGTTGAGATCAGTTATGCAAAGGGAGTTTTTGTTCACGAGTACGACGCTCCGCAGCGTCTGCTAGCTTTCGAGCGAAGACTTGTATTTCTTCTTGTGATGCCCCCCAGGTTAGGCTGAGGTACTGCTTGCATTGACAGGATCTTTTTCTTGCTCAACGAGCACATCAAAGCGAGAGGATGGCCGGGAAAGTTCAGTCATGCGGCTCCGCCAGGCTGTTGCGGCTCGGGCAGAGTTGTCTGGGCCAGTCTGTACGGTGCTCAGGAAGTCTGAGAAGAGACTGCATGTTCGGGCTACCTGCCAATTGGATTTCAAGGCTGGAGAAGTGACTTGGCTTCCAAGCCTGGAGACTGGCCCTCAGAGAGGAAACGTGTTCTGCTCTTTCAGGGTTCGGAGCAAGTGGAGTATGGCTTGCTTCCGCTCAGGGCAGACCGCTCCGAAACGGAGTGCATGCTTTCGGCCTTGCGATCCTTGCAGGACAGGACCTTCTAATTACCGTGCATGAGCTCTTGCCAAACATGAATGCACTTTAAGACCTTGCAGGAAAGCTTCACACCGCCCCAGCTCCAACTGACGCGAGTACCATGGGTCCTTGCCTTCACTAACCATGTTGGACATGGGCATTGTGCAGTGTCTGCGCTGTTGCGCTAAAGCACAGGTAAGACCTTGGCTTCATCCACTTTTGGGTTCTACCCATCTAGAGAATGGCTTGCAGGCAGGGCTTGTGTGCCTCGTCGTATTGAATCGTATTGCTGTATGGTGCCACATGTGCCACATACGTCCGGTTAGGCATTTCGATCCCGCACCGCGCTGTGGGACGACAGCTCAACTACAGCCACTCCGGTCATTCGTCTGTTTCGCCAGCATCGGGTGCTTTGGCAGCAAGTGCCAAGCCGAATTCCTGACTCGTGCAGAATTTTCAGTGTTCTGTTCAAAAACCTGCTATAGGCTGCTGTCGCCGAACAGAGCACATAGCAAGAGTGCATACGCTTGTAGCGTGTCCATCACTGACCATTCCACGGCACTGACGTAACCAGACAACTACAACCATGTCAGACTGAAGGTCGGTGGGCAGGTGGTGCTTCCAGCAGCTTCGCACTTGCTGCTGATGTCGTGCGCCACAATGGTCGCACAGCATCCAGACAAGGTGTACCTTGATTGCAGCCTTGCTAGATGGCAACATGCTACGGATGACGGCTCGGGTTTCCGACTACTTGCCAGAGACTTGGGTTCCCCTGCAAGCATCCCGCTCAGCATAACTCAGCAGAACCCTACACGGAGAACAAACACTCAAAAGTCGCCAAACATCGCCAAACAATCCACCTTGTCAGCTGAGGGATTCCTTCGCGCCAGAGACGTTCGTGGAACTTAGCGACTCTTGTCACCCTGGCTGTGCAAAGTGTGTGAAGGCTCATCATCATGAGTCAGTACGAATCAGCTCAGGACACGGTCTTTGAATCCGCCTTTGTGCTCTCCGATTCACGGCAGACCCAAGCGGAAGTGCAGATCCTGCCTTCGGGGATCAGACTGTCGAGCCGTGGCACAGACGCCAGCCAAGCAGCTCAAGCAGTCCATGCACAGTCCAGCAATGCAAGCTTCTCGGCATTTCTCGACCCAATGTCAGAAAATACAAACGCAAGAATCAGAAAGCACAAACGCGCCAACCCGAACCCGCGAAAACACACCCCTGACTCAACCGTCCTCATCTCTATGACAGGGCTTAGGCTTTTTTGTGTCTAAGGATATTGATATCAGGGTTTGATGTTCCTAGGGTGTTTGTCGATTTTTTTGGGGTTTAGGGGTGCGGAGTACCGACGAACCATCTCGAACCCGAATACGGCCCCAACGTTGTCACTTATTGAAGCAAAAGACAGCAACGCAAACAGGGCTGACAAGCAGGCGACTCTTAGAGGAACTGCCCATATGCAAGATGCTTCAAAGAGCTTTAGACCGAATTCACAGTTATGTCGAAATTGCTAAGTGTCCGTATGGCATCAGGTATCGTCGGGGGACCTGGCGCCCGCGGAGCGATGCTTCAGCACAGCTTGGTGGAATGGAAGTCACACTGTCCCTCCTTTCAGACATCTGCAGACGCTTACAGGACCAAGGTTAAGCGACAAGTACAGAGCTCGCGGGGTAGTTTTATGTGACTTGTAGTCAAGGAAGGCACTGCGCTCATTGGCCTTCATGCACCATGCCATTCCATGTCGGCACCTGGCAAGTCATGACCGTGCGAAAGGACTTTGGAGCAGTGTGGACTCGAGTATGGCCCGAGCTTCCGTGCCATCTCCTCCTTCTCTGTGAGCCATGACGGTTTCGCCCCGAGTGATTTCAGAACAATGCGCCACCCATTGTCCCCATGCATTGTTTCGACGTGTGCCATTTTGATGTCCAAGAGTCTAAGGCTTGCGTGTGCTGGGACGTTTGGCATTGAAGTTGGAGACCTGGGATCGCTCCCTCAACATGCACCCTGGTATCTTGGATGGTGCTATCCAGCTTTTGCTGCTGGCCTGCCCAAATTTTCAGCAGTGCTTTCTTCCATTCAGCATCGATAGCTGCATCATTGCGACTACCTTCCCATCTTGGGACCTGTGGGTCACAGTGCGTGTTCGAAGTGCTTCTGCAGAAGCTGTTTCTGGTGATTTGGAAGTCTCTACGGATGACGGTGTCCTCGTTGCGCGGCTGAGCCGGTTGACCTGCAGAGCGCATCGTCCAGAGTCAGCGCAGCTTTCACAGTTTTCGCAGATGACGTATCATGTGGCCTTCGTGGAGATGGCAAACCGGCCCAGCTACGCTTTGCCCCAGAGCGTGCAACGAGCACTGGTCTGTTGCTCCAAGAAGTATCAGGAGCGGGTTCTAGCCGCCTTGTCCTGGACAGCCGAGAGATGCAAGTTTGTCGAAGACGCACCTAGTGCGCTTTCCTTGCTCGGCTCCTTGGCAGAATTTGGCACATGCGGAATGTTGGCAGGCTGCATAAACCTTTGCATGGAGACTTCCGCAAGGCTCCGGGGACTTTGGGTACATTGCCTTCCTCGCAGAGGAGGAGCCACTGGAAGCCCTCTGCACTGCTCTGCAGGTGTTGCAGACGGCAGCCAAGTTCAACACAACCGTCGTGCTGGTTGCTCAGGGAACTCAGCCACCAGAGCTGGACCAGAAGTCCGGCTGATCTTCATGGGCCACAGAGTGACAACGGATGATAAGCCATTCATACTAACCTCTGATAAGAAATTACACAGTCTCGCAAGGGTGCCGAATGTTGCTGGAACAGTGTAGTCGAGCCGCCCGGAATGGTAGGACCCCTCTGCCGTGAGCACAGAGGGCTGCGGGTCCCAGGGTTTAAGGTCTTGAGTTTTCTGCGCAGTTCGAGAGTTGAGGGTCCCCCCAGGTTTCAGGGTTCAGGCTTCGTTTGGTTCAAAGCCCAGCTCCCAAACGAAGGCGGGGGCCAACAAACCGAAGGATTCCGGTTCAAGTTGTCCTTTTTGGGTGGTTACGAACCGAGGTCAGCATCATAAGGCTGTTGAAATTACTGGCACTTACGGTTCAATCAACTTCCGCCATGTCCATGAGAAGCACGTCTAAGCCGTAACCCGTCTCACACTGTCGCAGACTGTCACATCTGTCCACCGTCACATTGTAACAGTGTGAGACGATGTGAGATCCCTTCTGATATGCGGCGCCCAGGAATTCCTTCGATCCGACGCATGCAGGCCTCTGGGGCTTGGCTCGGTCGGCAAGGCTGGAAATGCCAGAGCTGAGCATCACGTGCCTGGATTTACCACCAGAGCCTCGGAGAGAAAACGAATAGAGAAACCGCGCGCAAGATATGTGCTCAGTTTAACAAGCATTCACTGCCAACTCTCTATTTTCAAAAGCGGTCTTGAGTTGCCCCCGATATTAACACAAACACGTGTGCAAAATCCAGGCTCGGTGCGGAAACAAAAGCTCTCAGGATGGAACTCACACCGCTCCCGTGACCGCTCCCGTGGCTCCACCGCTGGCTCCACCACTGTCTCCTACTAGTTGGCAGGAGCAGGCGAGCAGATTTGTCTTGACTTTCTGCCCTTCTCGGCCCTCAATCTATGCTTGCACATGAGTGTCTCAGGACCCATGTTTTCGAGAGAAGGCCGCCTACGCTGCAAGGCGGTCTGTGGCAATTGTCGCAGTGTGCACGTCGATGAAACATGCAGGCTGCATGCATGTGTCAGATGTTTTGGAGGTTGCAGAGGAGCTCGTTGAGTCCTCGGTGGCCCGTGCAGCTACTGAGACAGCATCTGACGGAGCATTATCCGACAAGACGCACGATTTCATTCGGAATGGCGTTCTACAGGCTCTCTCTACCAAGTCGGGGTACTTTCTCGTCCTTGGTTCCGGTCGCACAGCAGTCAAAGCTGGGCTGTTTCCGCCACCTCTCTGCAAGAGCCGGGTTGGTTCTGAACATCAAATGAGGTTGGTTCATTATTCATTGATGCGCTGATGCAGTTGTTCATGGTGCAGGACTGCTTGTGCCCAGGCATAGCAGCTGTTGGTCTCAACTTCCGAGACGTCTTGAACGTGCTGGACTTGTATCCCGGTGATCCAGGCACACTTCGCCGCATGACCTGGAGACATCTGGAGACAGTGTAGATTCTGAGAGTAGGTCCTTTATCGTGGGCTTTCACTGCTGCTGCGGGCAAGATTGCGGTGGGTTGCCAGGGTATGTTCTAGCTGCAGCTGCACTTGGAAGGTTAATCACTGTTGACAACATCGACGAAAGCCAACATTGCACTCGCAACAGCAAGGTCAACGCTGGCAACAGCACATCTGCACCTAGCATACAAGCAAGCACTGCGATGAAGTTACAAGGCAACATGGACGCTAGCCAGCGAAGCGGCACTATGCCACTCTGGCGACAGAAGCGGCCATCACGTCACGAGTTGATTTCCTTAGGAGGTTCTTGAGATGCGCCTCTGGATTCTCTACCTTTCTCTCAGATACTCTGGGGTTTAGGCGCTTTGAGTCCTCTTTGCAGCGGACGGCTCCTTACAGTAGCAATGCACCTCTTCAGCTCTTCAATTGTCTCAAGCCATATTCGTCGAAAGAGACTGGGCGGGGATGAGGAGGATCAGGAAAACGCTGCAGGTCGACGGATGGCGAGTCAAACAGGGCGTGTTTGGCAGTGTTCGGAAGTTAGGAACTGGCCATTGGAATGCTGTTGATTCAGCACAAAAGAGGCAGAACCTTCTGAAGTAGATCACTGGTACGCTACGACATGGAGGATTGCTGAGAGATCTATGGCTCGGACGTTGCGAAGCATTTCGTAGCACATCTTGATACATTTTCTGGCCAAGAGAATGAAGCCGGAAGTAGTCAGAAGCTGAACTTCGCCACACTCAGATTGCTGTGCAGGGGACCCTGGCCTGGACTGCAGCGGAATTCTGGTTGATCCACAAGAATCAATACCATCTGGAACTAAGCTTTTTGGCATCTCATTTGGCTGCTTACGAACCTTTGCAACGGTCAAGGACATGGTCATATCTCCGCGCTTGCATGTATACTATCAGTGTAGCTATGGATGATCAGATGTAACGTCATACTGGGCGGGCATTCTCGCAGGAGCCAAGATTACTCGCTCAACGTCCACCAAGATGGTCCCATGCAGAAGCTGCTGCTCTGCCAACCGTCTTTACAACAGTTGACATGGCATTCGGCAAGTTGGCTGACTTGCAGGTCGGGCTTAGCAACATGGTAGGACTTGCTTTCCATGAGGATTGGCGGGTTGCAAGGCTCTTGATAGTGTGGCACTTTCTGTCACGTGCTTCGCTGACCCAAGCACAGGTAACGCTCTCTTCTGAAACGTTCATAAAGTCGTCGAGAAATCCATATCAGAACAGGCTTATGCTGGCTCATGTCAGTACGTCGCATGTACAAAATCAGCCATTCTGAACCCCTGCGTTGGAGACCGAGGCGGCCCCAACAAACACAAAAGCTCTGGCCAGTAGGTTGTACACAATGGTGCAACTGATGCACTTATAGCCTTACAGCAGCAAACTTGTAGCATTCGTAACAGCATTCATACATTAATATGTATTCTTGCGACGAGTGTTTTTCAAGTGTTTTTGTTGTTTGACTAGTGGATTTGTTCAAATTTTTCTCTGCTCTGCAGGGATGAGAATTGCAAACGCACGCGCCCGCCTCGACAGCTGGGCTGGCCCAAGCCGGGATGTAGCATGCGAAACGGTCCTAGGAGGGGACCAAGGCCGTTTTTCAAGTGAAGGGGGTAAAGCAGAACCAAACAGAGTTTCAGCCGCGTCCTAGGAGGGGGTCGGGGGTATGCCAGGGGGGTCCCAGGGGGGTACAGGTGTACGGAGAGTTTCTGGTGACCAGATCCTGGTCTGCTTGTTCGCCATGCCTCTCGGCTGGAGGCCAACTACACACGGGAAGGGTGGAGTCAAGCGGAGTCCCCGTACCCAGATCACTGCATCACGAATCGGCTCAAAGGCGCAAGTCACTACCACAAGAGGTTTTGACTCGAGTGACAGCAAAGGCCTGAACTCTGGCCAAGCGGACGCCAAGCAGAATTTACTTCGAGCTACTGCCAGTTGATGGTAGGGCCCAAGCCTCCTTCATCGACTCAACCGAGCATATTCACCCTTTGTGTACCTCAGAGAATGCCTGACCCTTGAACTAGAATCCTTTGCCCAGGGGTAGCCTCCGAATCCGATGCCCACCTAAACCCTGGAGCCTCCGTCCAACACCTGAATCCCCTTGCGGGTTGCTCTCGCCTCACCCGAAGCCACCCTTCCTCCAGCTAGCTCGTGCATGCTCGCATCCAAGATCTCGTTACACTAGTCGCTCCGACTACATTTGCTACCGCATGGTTATGCAAGAACACAGTCTGGTTCCTGGAAGGCGGGGCAGCGCGTGCTCATCCATGCTGGAGCAGGCTTGCTATAGATTGCGTGAAAACAGACACAGGAATGAGATCGTGTCACATTCTACAAAGGTGGTGTTGGACTGACGGCCGTGCAGTATGCTTTACGGCTTGGTGCTGTGGTGTACACGACAGCAGGGAAGGAGGTGACGCTTGCTGCTTTCTGTTGCTCTACAGGCGGCATAGTGCCGTTCCGCTCCTGCACACCCCTGTAAATGGCAGCGAATTAGCGCAGACTGGCAGGACAAGCAGCGGCATCTTCGCCAAATGGGTGTCAAATGTGTGGCCTGGCTCTGGGGAATTGATTGACGAGGGCGTTTTCATTCTGGTGAGAGCTGCGAGATTGTAGTCTGCGAGTAATTAGCCTTTGATGGCAGATTAATGTACGACAGGTCACAAGTTCGAGAGATGGCAGGAAATTTGAGGAAGAACTGGCTGCAGTGCTGGCAGAAGAAAACGATGCGAAACTCGATGTCATTCTGAATAGTCTCAGAACCTTGGCTGTTCAGCCACTTGTGGCAAATTACAATAGCAGAGCATTGACTGACTTTGTTCGGATGTGTTCGTGTTCTTACCTGCACTCGCAGTCAAGGCCATGACAACTTCATTGGGCGATCTCTTTCCTTCCTCGGAACTGGAGGATTCTTCATCGAAATCGGCAAGCGTGGCATCTGGACGCACGAGGAGATGGCGAACTCGCGGCCTGATGTACACTACAGGACTCTAGCAATGGACACCATCTGTGAAGAAGCTCCTGGGCAGTTCCAAGAGCTTATGCAACGACTCTCAGCAAGGCAGGGCCGTCCCGCATTCGCAGATGTTGATCTTGTGAGTGGATCCATAGTATGGAGCATTACATGCTTGCCAGGATGGTGAGTGGAGCCTGGGATCCAATACCATGCAGAGTCTTTGAAGGCTTGGAAGCATGCCCTGAAGCCCTGCAAATACTTCGCAAAGCTGATCACATTGGGAAGATTGTCGTCACATTGCCGTCACCACTGCAGATCCGGGAGGGGGCGTCGTACTTGGTCACCGGCGGAACTGGTGCGTTGGGCCTTGCTTTGAGCCGTGCTCTTCTGGAAGAGGGGGCAGACGCCACTCGACAGGGCAATGCAAGGCCGTGTCGGGCAGTGTGTCGTCCCTTGAGCTAGCTGTTTCACCCTGTGCAAGGATCTGGTCCTCTTGTCACGCAATGGCAATGCAACTTCGACGATGCCACCCTGGCTGGAGCGCTCAGCAGCTCGGGTGTCATGTTGGCAATGCAACTCAGCTACCGATAAAGAGCAAGTTGTACATGTCGACTAAACAACTGCTGCTGCAACAGTGGAATCGCAACACCATTGAGGCGACCTCGGTGCACAGGGCTCACAAGCTCATGACGTCCTGCAGAAGGATGTTGACAGCCTGACGGCCCTGGCTGGTGTTTTCCACCTGTCTGGCATCTTGAAGGATGGTCTTCTGGCACACCTTCAGAGGCAAGATATTGACGCTACATTCGGTCCAAAGGTCCGTGGGCTTCAAGCCATCCAGAAGGAGCCCCGCTTGGTTTGCGATGAAAAACCAGCATAATCACCTGTTCAGTTAAGTACACATCAGCAAGGATATTGAACTGAGAAGTTCTGAAGAACTACACTGAAGGCTAGCAAATGACAGTCTGATGTTCTCAGGTGTTGACGCGGAGTGGTCGATGGCAGCACTTGGACTTCCTTTTGGCTTTTTCTTCCACGGCCGCGATCTTGGGCTCTGCGGGGCAAGCAAACTATGCAGCCGCCAACGCCGCGATGGATGCTCAAATTCACCAACTGCGCCCTTCGGCTGGAAGAGCGAGACAGGAGATGATAGGTCCACTCTGGGGTCTTATAGGGAATTCTTAAGGAAACGGGATTCACTGACTCTACGCTCCCTTCAAAACTTCAGGCTTATCCGGCTGGAAGGCCTTCAGCCTGCAGTGGGGAGCGTGGCTCAACATGGGAATGGCGCAGCCGCGAAGCCTGCGGCACCTGTGTCAACGAGGAATTCCCGTTGATGTGGGTCCACGTCTCAGACGTGTTGCATTGCTGTGTTATATACCTACCGGGCCCAGATCCTTTTGATAGCCAAATACGAAATACCGGTGTCCTGGTTTCAAAGCTGTTAGAATATGTTCGTGTGGATGGGCAGGATCATGCTGAGCCTTCCGCCACAAGAATAGCAAGGGGGAGCGGGCTCCCGGCAGCAGATTCCTTTCAAATCAACACACACACACACACACACACACACACATCTTCAACTTGGGGTGAAAGCAACTCCGGAGCATGACTTTGTCGCATGGCTCGGTAGGAATTCGGACTCATTTAGCATGCCGGAAGTAGAAATGTTGGAGAATCCGATGGGCGAAGAAATGCAGAGAAGAGCAGGAGCCGTTTTTGGCATGCGCCGAGGCTAGCAGTTCTCTTGAAAGACGGTCGCTGCATGTGCCCCTGGACATGCAGCAGGCTCCGGGCCTCAAGGACAGCAACCTTGATGCAGACGAGGGCCGGTAGGTCAGCCGCAGCCCTGCTCACTTGGTACCCCCGAGATCGAAGAAGACCCTCGGCCTGCGTGAACGGAAGAGGTGCCAACGTCGGTGCAGTCGTTGTCTGCAGTGGTGGCTTTGAGGAGCAGCGACTTTTGAGGCGGCCTGCGAACCAAGTCAAGTTCGGCTCATGGTGTAACTATTGTCGATATTGTGGCTCCATGAATGCTTGAAAGAAGACTTTTGCAGACATTGGCATGCGACAGCTCATGATTCTGCCTTAGCACAAACGAGCGGCTGGGCTTTTGGAAGACCGTGAGCAGTCCACGCAAGGAGCTCCCATGGAGCTGGAGCAGCAACACAAGCGACACTTAGTGCACAACATAGAACAACCATCGAGGATACTGTGAGAGCGGCTGCTCGCGAGGAGCAGGTGATGACGAGTGACCACGGTGCTGCTGAGGACAGTGCTGGTGATGATGAAACGATGCTTAACTTCATACTCAACCTCAGAGCTTTTAAGACCTAAAGTACCCTAAAGCCGATAGACCCGGCCCTCTACACCCAGAGCCATAAAAAGCCCAAAAAGCCAAATCCAGGAGTGGGAGGACGCTGCGCGTCGCCCACCTCGGCCCCTCTTGGCGCGCAGAGGTGTAAGTAGGGGGGAAAGGGTAGGCGAGGGGAGCTCTGTATGGGAGACACACTGGAGACACTAGGCTGTCAGAGCGCAAGAACCCGACCACTTTGCCAGCTATATGCACAGCTATACCAAGTCTGCAGTTGGAAACGCACACCCCATATCAGCCGATATCCAGGCATGTAAAGATCTCAAAAAATTGATTAGTTTCGAAGTCCAAAATCAACGGGGGCCTGGGGCCCTGGGCCTTAGACATCCTGGCATGGCTTGGACTCTTGAACGTGAAGTGCTGGGAGTGGGACACATCATTGCAGGAAAATAAGCACTGACCGCTTGGGAGAGGTTACATCGCAAGGAAATGAGGCTGCTCGGGTGATCTCGGGTTGGGGGCGCGGTGCGCAACATTGCGGAAGGGGGGGGGAGGGGAGGCAGGGGGTTCAGGGGAACTGAATCAGGGGAGCTCTGACGCCACGCGGCGTCACAGCTGTTTTTGTCATTTCGGTCGAGCTTTGGCGATCATTGTTTGCCTGAGCTTGCCCGTGCGCGATGCATCAAATCCAACTGATGGATGAAGTGCTTCAGGGTATACGCTCCTCTGGCCCTGGAGCGAGAATTGCTGCTTGCATGGGAAATGAAAAATGAGGCTAACATGTTTTCACTACCATTCAGATCTTTAAAGCAAGTCTTCTTTCAGGCCGAGGAAAGTAAGGAGAATGGATTCGAACTTGCAAGTGCGTTTTTGATGCATCGCGATTCGGCCTTGGCCAGGACGGGAAGAATTAGGAGATCCAGAGCTGCTGAAGAGTTGTTGGATTGTAGGACATCTAAGGTCTGGCTGTCATGGCATCGGCAATGGACCTGGCGATCGGACCACAAAGCGAAAGCGCCGTCAGTTGTGCAAACGTGGATTGGGAGGCATTTCTTCGACCTCTGCAAGCTCAGCAGTATTTCAAGTCGGTGCGGCCTGACCACAGTGAATCGCGACGTGCTGACGTGAGCCCAGATGGTGATGCAAGCCACAGGATCAAAGGAGTTCCTGCACCGTACGAGAATGCTTTGGACTGGGTTCTAGCAGTGCTGGCTGACTTGATTGGCGAAGAGCTCGACCCTGAAGACCCATTGACTGCAGCTGGTTTGGATTCCCTTTCTGCCGTGGAATTCCGACGAAAGCTCTCAACTGACAGTGGTATTCCGTTGCCGCAAACTCTTGCATTTGATTACCCGACTGCCCACCAAGTAGCAGCATTTATAACATGCCAGGGGTCTGTGCGAGGAACTCAGGGTACAGAAGATGCGGAGCGCCCGGAGTTGCGCAAGAAGGTTTGTGTGCAAGGCAATGCCTGCCGCATTCCTGGATTGGAAGCTGATTCGATTTCCTCGACAGCTTTCGAAGCCTGGCATATCTTTTGCAAGCAGGTTGATGCTGTCACGGAGGTCCCTCTACGACGTTTTGACATCAACGAGTGCTTTGATGCCAATATGTCGGGTGCAGATTTCGTGACATATGCAAGGCATGCCAGCATTGTGGAAGGAACGGATCTATTCGATCATCGGATGTTTGGAATCTCCGGCAATGAAGCCGCTGCAATTGACCCCCAGCAGCGCAACACCCTTGAAGTAGCTTATGCAGCATGCCACAATGCTGGCCGACTGCGCAAGTCCCTTGCCAAAGCTGCTATCGGCGTTTTTGTCGGACAATGCGCAAATGACTGGGCCAAGACCACAAGAGAGCGAAGGGCAGGTACGTTCATGGGCCCAGGCACTCACGTGGCGCATCCTATTCCAGCAGTCTTTGTTGAGTTGGCGTTTGTTAGTTTCTCTGTGTGAGCTAAGGTCAAGCCTAGGCTGTGTAGCAAAATCAATCTCAGGCGAGTATTGCCGCAAATCGCCTCTCCTTCTGCCTGGGGCTAGAGGGCGTCAGTGCCACCATCGACACGGCTTGCTCATCTACCCTGGTTGCGCTGGAAATCTCAATCTTGCAGCTGCGCATGGGGCTTGAAGCGGTGATTTGCAGCGGCAGTCAGCTTAATTTGATCGCGGCGACCTGGCAAGATCTGGCAAGCATTGGCAATCATCTTTCATGTTTTTCACACACCCAACTCGCAAGCTCAGGAACCCTTTGTCGCATTTAGCAATGGGAGACTGCTGTCAGCGAGCGGAAGGTGCAGAACATTCGATGCATCGGCGGATGGTACCTCGGCTGCCGTCCTCCCTTGTAGGCTCTGGCATCTCGACTTGTGCAACAAGACCTGCAAAAGGGTGAGACGAACACAAAGACGAACACAGACAAACAACAACAGCATGCTCGAAAGTCTCTAAGTCTCTAAGTCTCTAAGTCTCTAAGTCTCATCTCGTGGATTGTGTAACAGCGGCAGTAAGGAACAAACCGTGACTCCGACAGCTACCCTGCGATGCAGTAGGAAACAAGGGCCCGCGTCATATCGGACTACTCAGTGTTCATGCGACCCACAGTCTGATTTGTAATGTGAATAACAGGATTGTCACAGATAGAAGCTCACATGCGGAGCAACAATGCTGTGCCGTGCCGGCGAATGCCGAAGAATGTCAAAGAGCAAAGAAGTTCAGAATCCGGCACTTCCGGCGCAATGACGTACCGAATGACATGGCTCGCTTGCCTTGCTTAGGTTTTGCACGAGGGGAGGGCTTTGGCTCTTTCTTTGTCGTGCAGGCAGAGGCCGCGGGGGGCCTTGGGCAGCAGCACGACCCCTTTGAGTCGTTGAGGGATGTGCTAGGATGTTTGTTCGTTTGTTCACTGGAATGCGCGCGCTCGCCAGGATGACCGTGGCCCCGCTGTGCTGGGCTCCATGGCCAATCAGGCGCCATTGAACGGAAGCGGAAAAGTGGTAAATAGAATCGGATGTTCTGCTTTCAAGTGTGCTTGCGAACTCTTGTTTTCAAAAATGAGAAAGATGCAAGTCGTGATGGCGCTTGATAGCATTTGCAAGTGCAGGATGGCCGGAGCTCGTCCCTCACAGCACCGAACGGACCTGCTCAACAGCGAGTCATCAACGCGGCCCTTGGCCTGTCAGGCACACGACCCATTCTGAGCCATCGTACTTGTTCAACCATGAATCATTTGTTTAGATGCAGGCTGCACAATTGCAACACTTTAGCTGCTGTAGCATCGCTAGTGAGCAGTGCCTGTTGCACAACGTTGCATGACGTTGCACAGGCCTGAAAGGAGCTGATGTTTCAGCTGTGCGGCTGGCCCGTTTCGACTGTAGGACCTTGTCGGCATGGAGGATAACCATCCAGCGACTGTGTATCAGGTTGAGTGCCATGGCACTGGAACAGCCCTGGGCGACCCCATCGAGGCATGTACAGATCAGTCGCACTTCTCAGCGGCAAGGGCTATTGCTTTAACGAGGTCGGTGGGCTGCGCGGAACACTTGGCGATGATCGCCTGCAAAACCTCTTCTTAATGGCTGGAAAAAGCAATGTGGGCATCTGAGATTTTTCCTAGGACAACTCCGGCAGATCTGAGTGCATAGTGACAAGAAGACAACTCGAGCCTGGGCAGGTTGGTCACCTTGAAGGTGGCGCTGGAGCACTGGGTTTACAGAAGCCCGAACCCTACGCTGAGCTCAGACACGGTGTAGCTCTTGCGGAGATGGGCGGGATCCCAAGTGCAGTTGTCAGCCGTTCTTTTGACTTTGGTACATTTAGTAATATTAATTAGAACTCTTTCAGAAATTCTTTGGGGCCTTTGGGATGCCTGGTCTTTGCCCACGCTCCTCAAGTGGTTGTGCAGTTTGTTGCAGTTTGTGCAGTTCATCCAGTGTATCAGGAGTAATCCAGCGTAGTCATGTGAACTGCAGGGTGAAAGCAGGGTGGGATCCTAGGTGCCTCGCCGTCGTGACGCAGCTTCAGGCACATAACGCTTTCGGGTGTTCTGCTTGGGTCGTTGCAAAGCATGCAAAGCCAGGTGCCGCCAAATCTGCACCTGGCCTCCCTCAATCCACACATTGAGCTACGGGACTGCATGCATATTGCATGCATCTGCATGCGCTAATGTTGCCATTTCAGCGCTTCAGAGCAGTACCGCACGACGTTTCATGGGAGCCAGGACTTCCAAGCGCAAGTTTCGACAACCCTGGAAACGTTTTCTGCTGCCACATCCAGTATGAACGTGGCATGGCTCGTTACGTTGCAGTTTCATCTTGTCAGCCAGTGTGTCAGTCTGAACGCGTCTCTTGTGTGGACGGCTTGGCATTTTGAGGTTGGCCTGTCGTCATTTGGATTTGGTGGTACAAATGCTCATGCTCTACTCCAAACCTCGAGGCCGGCAAACGTGAAGAGCATGCTCGGCCACGTCCATGAGCAGTCGCCCTGATTGCTAAGAGAGCAGTGAGAGTGTGTACACAGCAAATTCTCAAGATTTAGGACCCGACGCTGCCCAGTCAGTAAACAAAGAATGGTGCTCCAGATCCACCCTCTGTGGTGCATGGCGTCGGTAGAGTACACATGATGAAAGCAACTTCCAGGCCACAGCCACGAGAGCCGTCGGAAGTGCCTCCTCTTAGCCTGCGACGAGTACCATTCCCATGGGCCCCACCAGTGCCCCAGCCGAGTTTTCTCTCTGAACCCTTGAGACATTCTTGCTACATTTGCTGCTCATTCGCTAGGTTCCACGCCTTCTTGGTCTTAAGCGCCGTGAGGGAAACTCACAAGTGTTCGAGGCTCGGGGCCAACAAGCTCACGCCAAACGGGATTCATAGCGTGTGTGTCTCTCCGACAGGTGCAGGTTGATGCAGAACTGGCTGCTCTGTGTCAACATGCGGCCGCTGCCTTGAGTAGTTGAGCAGAATTTGGGCTTGTTTACTGTTTGAGCTTTGCTGTGCTTTGGTGCCTTTTTGGTGCCGTCAGATGACGTTCAAGTTGTTGTCACTAAGTAGATTCTGCTGTCAGAACTGGATTTGTTGCTAAACAGATCGCCGGCTCTGTGACATGGCGTCCGTCGTCCTCTTGAACTTGATCACAGCAATATGGGCATAGGACAAGTGAAGAAGCGTATGCACTCTGAAAAGCTGTGCACTACAACACATGGCAACAATTGCAGCAAGCATGAGCTGCAATTTGTCTCAAAAACCAGCAAGACCCCTGCCTGCTGGCAGCGCTCGCTGCACCACGTGGGGTAAGTCGTTGGCCTATGACACTCCTGTGACTGTGTCTTTCCATCCCAAAGCCTTCCAATTCCCTAGACACCTTCTAAGCCTGATCCCCAAACCCACCCAAAAACCCTTGGTTCTGCGCCCTGTCATCACCGAAACCTTCTAAAAACTTGTAGAATCTCAACATAACTAGACCCTGACTCCTCACCTTTGCTCCTTTACATCCCCAAACCCAAGCGTTAACCCTGGACCCTAATCAAGCCCTGAACAGTCCATGACTGTCCCAGACTGTCCTGGCTATCCGTGCGCGCTTGAAATGGCCGGGTGGCAGAGTTTGACCCGTGCCGTGCCACGTGATGATCGCGCGGCTGGTCTCAGCCGCAGATGCTGCCATGGCTGGCTGCAATGCTTCACCACCTGCATGCAGTCATGAAAAAGCTCGGCACCCTCTCCAGGGCTTGGAAGCTGACCCTTGTCTTGGGAAGAAGTCCAACAAGAATCAGGTCTGCCAACCAAACCGCTTCCAACCCCGCAAAGCAGGCAAACGGTATTCAGAGGAATTGGCCCAAGGGGCCCTTGCAACGCCATGAGCGGATTCCAAGATTCTAATCGACAAGCTGTGAACCAGTTCTGAAGATACATGTTGCGAGCCTCATCTGCCTTTCGGCAAGTCTCACAGCCATCGCCCCGAATACGGATCCGCACGCAGAATGTCAGATACATGGACTCAGACCTGCAATGGCTTGCCGTAGAAACCTGAGTGTACTTTGCCAGGGTTTCAACCAAAGTGACAAATTACTGTGGACTACCATGACCCCTCCGATGCACAGAGTCGGTGAGACGTCCAAAGCAACGAACGAACAGGTCTGGACAAGCACAATTACGGTTCGAGTTAATTTCGGAGCATATTGCAACTTCTGCTCGAGCGATCGTGAGAATCTTGGGTGAAGAAAACGGGTGCTTTTCTCTTTGTTTGGCACTTGCATAGGCTCTTGCACCTGGATTCCAGAATCTGATCTCGGGTTCATGAAAAGCAAATATAGATTCGGAATGAACTGTTGCTGGCTCGCTAGCATGCCGAGGTCCACGGCCAGTCCTTCATTTCATCCTCGCTTTTCGTGGCATTTGTGCGCTTACTCAGCCGTGGCATTCCGAGCGCGTGAGTTTTGTTTTGCCGCAAGCCGACTGCGCTCGAGGCCATGGAAGCCTGCCGGCGACATGCTAAACAGGCACAAGAAACAGTTGGCAGATCGATGTTTGGACGCCAAGCTTTGACACCAGGCTGTTCAGTTGAAGAACGTGCACGTGGTGGTAGAAGGCTTAAAGGAGGGTGTCCACGACACTGATGCTGTCTTGCTGCACTGCAAAAAGACACTGGCACGGCGGCCAACTGTGCGCACATCGGCGCCCTTCATTTGAAAGGCACCTTTATTACTTCCCAGCGATGGCCAAAGCCTTACTGCACAGTGCCACTGTGCACTTGTCGTCTTGAGTGTCCTTTGTGCAGGTCAGACCTGGTTGCGACTGACTCTAGTAGAGCACCCTGGCACAACCAAAGCATGTCGCGTAGGCGATCGTGACCGAGTAATGGTCGTGTGTGCTCTAAGGCAGCAGTTTCAAGTGCTGAGCAAACCTCGGCAGTCCAACGAGGTGCGCTGCGTACCGTTCACTGCACAATGCAGCACGTTTTGATTCTGGTAATGTGTTGTTAAAGTGTTTTGAACTATTACGGGGTGCTCCGCCTTCTCGGAGGCTTGGGCAGTACACTGCACTGGCCGCTATGCCACACAGACGCAGGCAATGACAGACTGTGTTAGATGCATCGCTTTCAACACTCAGCAAATCACCAGAACTATGGGCGCAGCCATGGAACTCATGGACAAATATTCATTCTCTTCGCTGTGGCTTGCAGGCAACGTCACGACCGTCAGCAGCCCAGAGAGACTCGTGAATACGATGGCTGCTGGAAGACCTAGCTCGAAGCGCCGCTGGAGGTTTTGTCATGGATCCGAGCCGCTGTGTGCGTGGAGCAGTTTTTGGAAACTTGAGGTTGGCAACAAGCTTGGGCGGTACATTTAGCATTCTTGGCTCTGCGGCAGCACGCCAGAGGCTCGACCAGAAAGTTGCGACTGCTTCCTCCTTCCAAAGACTCATCAAGACAAAGGTAGTTGACGGTACATTGTAGTGCCAGAGCCCTGACCATCATTGCTTTGCATGATCGTGACACCGTTCATCTGCTGACTCAACGACATGTGGTGCAGAGCAGAAAGGATGTTCCAAGCAAAGGACGGCACAGCCTTCTGTTCGAAGCAGGTTGTGACAACTGGGGCCCTAGCGCCTTTTGCAGAGCAGAACTGTGTTCCAAGCAAAGGACGGCACAGCCTTTTCATCTTGTCAGGTTGTGACAAGATGTGTATCTGAGAGTAAGCCGCCTGCGCACAACAAAGCAATGCGCAACGTACTGTCTAGGTCACCTCTGACACCTGCTTTGTCAACCTGCCCAACACAGGAGATCCAAAGCGAGCGTCGCACACCTTCTAACTCTAATCTCCCCAACTCGGTCCGAAACGGAATCTCCCCACACTGCCCGCAACGAAATCTTCCCCCGACTCGGCCGAAACGACATCTCTCCTCCGAAGATTGTTCGGAGGCAGTCGGCGGCACGTGGTTCTGAGACTTTCGAGGAGCACAGCGGACCATGACCAGTGGGAACTTCTCAACCTAGGGTTAAGACCCTTCCCCATCATTTCAAGGTAGAGAGGCTTATGCCCGGGACGTACAAAGGGTATGCGAAGCCTGCAAAGCTCCTACCACCACTAAACATTGAGCGTGGAGGGTAGAAACGATCCATTACTGTAACCACTGCAGGCCATGTGCAAAAATGCTGAACTCGTGGCGGACACCGCACTGGAGGCTCCGAGCATGCACAGGAAAATCTCAGCACGATCAGAGGCAACAGATGCTTTCATGTGCTTCTGACAGGAGTTGAGGGCAAGTGCGACCGCGGAAGGGATCAGCTTGGGCCATCATCTTGGAAGCTAGGTTCGTAGTCATGACATTTCAGGACTGCGGGCTCTATGGAGGTTGCAGCCAGTTGCAGCTGTCAGGTGCAATGGCTGCAATGGACCACCTCAGCGATGTGCACGTGAAGCGGGGCGAACTCTGTGCTCGTAAAACCCTCGGCCGTCGGGTCGTAGCTTGAGGAAAGGAAACAGATGTTCCAAGTTCCAACCAAAGTGCTCTTGGAATCTCCTGTGAGAAAGTGAAACTGCAATGTCGTGACACATGAGGCTTGCGATTGCCTGCAGATTCTTCGCAGATGTTCGCTGCCTGGATCTCGGGGCCTGTGTTCTGAAAGTTCACTGCGATCAGTTGTGACACAACAACCTTGCTGCCAGCAAAAGGTACATCCAGCTCTTCTTCAAGCAATCCAATGCGCCGTGTGGCTCTGAACGAGATTCGGACACACGCTGTCATCCTGGGCATCCTTAGCCTTACCAGCACAGGTCATGGGCCTGTGTCGTTTCAATGAAGTGCATGTGGAAAGGTTGTCGCAGGACTCAAGCAGCTTGTGTGATGCCTTTCTCTTCGGAGTCCGGGTGGAATCTCAGCAAATACTTCAGAACTTTGCAGGACCTGGCTTCCATCGTCTCATGCTCTGCACCGAGCGTGGACCGATATTGAAAGAAGGGGTGGGCCATAGCTGAAGGCAGCTGACCGTCAGCTGACCTTTCAAAAGCTGGTGTCTGGTAGGCAGACTCGTAGTCCACAGCGCAGAAGCGAAGCTGCATGTCGTATGCCTAGGCTGCACATCCAAATTCGAAACCTTGCAGGATATTCCCCCGGGCACACAGCACCTCATTCTCCACATGCGTCACAGAGGCGTCGCTTCAAGTCGCAGGCCGGAGCATCGAGACAAGTCGGTGAACCAGGATGCACGCGATGCTTCATGTCTCTCCACGAAACGCTTCAACTGCGCAGTCCGGTCACCGCTACGGTGAGTTTGGATGGTGGGCCGACAGTGCTTGACATGCAGGACACCCGTGCCTCGAGAGCGATAATACGCGACAGTATAGTCGTCGAACTTCGGTGCAGCTTGAGATGCAGATGAAACTTGGCAGGACGTTCAGTTCCGACCTGTGTCGAAGAAGCAAGTGGTGCCTTGGAATGAACAATTCGGACACACATACTCTTACCCACTTGCCACCATCAGGAGGCAGCGGCATCCATGCGGCAGACACAGCCTGGTCCTCAAAAGAGCGAAGACAATCACAGAGAGAGAGACACACACACACACACACACACACACACCCACCCACCCACCCACCCACCCACGCACCCACGCACCCACGCACCCACGCACCCACGCACGCACGCACGCACGCACGCACGCACGCACGCACGCACGCACCGCGCCAGGCACGTGCACGCGCACGCCCACGCACAGACTTTCCAAGAAATCTTGCGGAGTCTCGCTGGGTTCTGAGGCTGGACGTGCCCAGCATCTTTGAACTGCAGTGGATAACTGCGACATCTCAAGGGAGGAGCGCACGCTGTGCTGCTGCCACTATACAATGCTCCGAAGAAGCCTCGTGATTGCAGGACCTTTGCACAAGAAGGCTCGCTTCTGTCCTTAGAGAAGTGATCTTTCGTGTTATGGGCTCTAAGGGGACTTTGATATTCTCCTACTCGTAGTTTGTTCACTGGCGCATGTCTTAAAGTTCTGCTTGCGGGTGCTGTCTAGCAGGGGGCCTCTGGCTGCTGCTGTGTCCCGCTGATCCGGATCTCGCCGAAGGATTAGCGCTGAGGTTAGGTTAAGAGCACATGCTCCACACGAATGTTGCTTGTATGAGGACTGCAGAAATCATTTCAAGACATAGAGGCGCCTGAGTGGAATTGGCTGCTTAGGCTTTTGAGCTTGTTGAAGTTTGGTAGTTCAGCAGTCTGCGTTCTTGGCAGGTACATGCAGGGAAGCCAAGCCCGTCTTCAGACAGCGACAGTGATGCGGAGGAGATTTCATGATGTTTGTGTACAAGGTGAAGGCTACGTAGCCCTACTTCTTAAATGGCAGGTGGGGAACCTAGGTCCTAGGTGTTCAATGCATGTTCGCTTTGGCAAAGGACACGGGTCTCGATGCGGCATCATCAGCCTCAGAGCGGGACAGGCAACCAGGGTGCGTGCTAAGTTGTGTTTCCGAGTGCCATGGCTTCACGCGAGGAATGCAAAAGTACAGTCACTCCATAATTAATACTTGTGGAAGACTTGCCTTCCTGGCTCCGATGAACCCAAAACCCCTAAATAAACTAATTAAGCCTCATAAGCCCCATAACCCTAATACCCTATGAACCCTACAAGCCCTACAACCCTATGAAACCCTGATTAAGCCCTTTGAACCCTATAAACCAGTAAACCCTACAAACCCTCAGCTTGGTCCATCATGTGAAGTGTGGGGCGTAAGGTTCGAGTGCATGTGGCATTCCGAATTCACATAGTCAAGCCTACCAACTGCCACCGCACAAAAGCTTGCATCAGGCATTTACATACTTTGCCTTTGATGCACTCATCCTTTGCTATGGTAAGCGGAAAGTCTGCTTCACGCCATGCGCCCAAGCCAAGTTTGGCTAATTGCCCGCTTGGGTCATCGGCTTGATGAGCTGGTGCGGTCGGTCAGGGCGGTCTTCTCTCTGCCTGCCGACTGCCGTGTCCTTGTCTCAGCCGCAAGATGCAATGCACTTCAAAGCACTCAGAACGCACTTCAATGCACTTCACGTCAAGACATTTCAAGACCTTTTTTTGGAGTGTCGGCCTGCAGAGCCGATGTCAGGTTTTGTTGATCACTGGCGAGTGCTATCGAGTGTTGGAGCTGCAACCCGGTGACTTCAAAGGAACGTCGGAGCTGGAGCCCTCGGTGGCACCGGAGGATGTCTTAATGACGTTTTTTGTATGTTTCTGTTGCACAGTGCGCAGACTGTTGTGCTTGTCTGAGCTCATCCGAGGATTGGATTCAGCAGATACAAGTCAAAAGTGGGCAAGAGGTGCATTCTAATCATTCCAACTTAAAAAAGGGAGGGCGAAGCTCGGTTAAACGCCCAAGACAACTTCAATCCGCGTCCGTCCTCTTGTTCACTAACGCGCATGGCCTGGACGGCACAGCCAGAACTGGGAGGGTAGCTGAAATTTCCAAACAACCACGTCGCATGCAAATCGACGCCTTCAGCCTCACATGCACACACATGCACAAGTTTCAGAAATGCTGCCTGACCTCTATTTGTGCTAATGTATAGCACACGCGTGCGCGAGCTAACACGAGCAGAGCGCTACTCGGAGAACTGTTTTTGAGCGCCAGTGGCAGGATTCACGAAAGCATTCGTTCCAGCCTTATGCAAGAGAATGCGTTGCGCGGCTCCACTGCTAGGCTGTCACAATGTTCGAAAATGCAGGCTGAGCAGCCAGAAAGTAGCAGCAGAAATCTGCATGGGTTGACAACTAGTAGTTTCAACACGCACACATCAAGCGCAATCGACGGCGCCAGCGTACGGCATGCAGTTCAATACTTGTAATCCAACCTGGGGGGGGGGGGGGGGGGGTTTAAGGGGTGTGGTGTCGGGGGGGGGGGGGGGGGGGGGGGGGGGGGTCCAAGGCAAAGTCTCGGGGGTGGAGCCCACAGCCTGGACGGATTTTGGCTCCTCCAGGCGGTTTGGGCAGGGTGTACAGCAAGTTTGGGGGGGAGGGGAGGGGAGAGTTGGGACAGGGGGAAGGACCTCTGATCGAATCACTTCTCCAGCTTCGCAATGCTGCTGTGTGACCGAGCCATTCGTTCGCCGCTACAAAACCACTCGAGTGCTCGGCAGCAGGGCGGCTCATCTAGTGGACAATTACAGCAGGGTCTGAATGCCAAAAGCCACATGTCACGAGCTCGCTGCCGCTGATTTGACGGTTGAACAGGTCAACAATGGTCAACACTTCACATGACATGACTGACCGTTCTTTGGAGGCCTCATCGCTCTTGGATGCAGTGGCTTGCCTGGCATCCAAGCAGGCCTCTTGCCCAGTCGTTTTTCTGGACGAGAACGCGAAGGAGCTCGGTGTAACTTGGCGCATCTCCAAGCTCACACTACTTGACATGGCCCTCCTCCGAAGGCAGCAACTGAAAGAATGACTAGGCTACTTCCAGCTATGTGTAGTATCGGCTGGTAGTTGGCCGAAGGCACTTCGCAGCTTGAACGCAGGAGGATTGGAGCTGGGCTGCCCCTCTTTCCAGTCCAATTGTTTGCCTTGGAGTCCATGAGGCCGCTTGAAGTGAAGCTGCACACATTGGACATTCTCAAACATTGGCTGCACTCCATGTTCCATGTTGTGTCGGGATTCCAGCACTGGTCAGGATTTTGAGGAGGAGACGATGCTGATCCGCTCGGCGGTCAGCCCGACACATGCTGCTCAGCTGGGGCCTGTCGCCTTACATTCCTCCGAAGCCTGGCCTAGTCTGGCGTGTGATGAGGGCTTGGTGGGTCATTTTACCTGCCTTAGTTAGAAGCATGTGCGAAACATCAGAGTTCATTGTATAATTTCATATGGAGGCCTGCCTGCACATTCTTTCCTCCGTGCGCTTGGGTGATGCTGGTGCTCCCTTTGAGCCGGTGCGGCCAACAGTGGTGCAGAAGGACAGTGCACCCAGGGCTGTTTCGGCAAGCAACTGCCTCAGTGTCTGACATGCTTGTTTTTTGTTGGGGAATGTGCGGCACTACCACGACTAACCGAGCAGTTGCGATAGTAGTCATCGGCACCGTAAGGAAGCTTCCGGCGAGCCTTGCCGCGCCGCCAGCCCGTGCGTTTCTTCTTGCGCTTAGATGACTCGCCACGTTTGAGCAGCGGCAGCACCAATGCACAGGTGCACCAGGCTCGAAGAAATTGCTTGCAAAAGTTTCAACATGTGTTCGGAATCCTCAACTGCTGCATGTTCAAGTTGGAAGCTGCCGAAGGCTATTGTTGCTGCATGTCTGGTTTCAAAGAGCGTCTACGACGAAGCCCGAAGATACAAGTAGACATGTTTTGTTTCGTTCGATAGTGGTCCCGAGACTTCAGGGGTTGCACAAGGTGAGTTCTTGAGAGCATTGCAGGGCGATCAGGGCGTGAGACCTCAGGACCGGGACACGCGCTTGTGTTTGGTCTGGCCATCCTGTGACTCCGGCAAATGCGACCGCTGCGTGACCGTGGACCGAAGCCTAATGAATTTATCGAAAGGACGCTTGGTTCCGGCTGAGGGCCCCATTCTCGACGCTCTGAAGTTGATGCTCGGCACGACTCAGTTGAATGTTCGACTCCCAACAGGAGTCCTCGTAGTTCCTCGCATTCCAAGGAAACTGGAGACCGATGAGAAGTCTTTGGAGCAGTGCATGGATGACATGGCAGCTGAGAGCTTGCAGCTATCCTTGGGCAAAACTGCTGCGGTGCGAGTTTCTGAGGGTGAGCAGAGCAGCTGGCCAGAATGGACTGTCCAAGCAAGCTGGCCAACTGATCCGCTCATAATGATGTTCCTCAACTGGCATGGTGATCTGCCAATTCCAGAAACCGCATCAATTCGTGTTCCCGACGCTATCTTGCAAACAGGTGCTTGCCTAGCATGTAAGCAGGACAACAGCTAAACCAGAGGTGCCGACAATTTAATCTGGATGGATATGATCGTGTAGAGATGTGTAGAGCCATTCATGGATATTCATGGCACTCATGGTCCATATTTTCATGTCAACCCAAGGCTGGCAGTCCTGCCAAGATGATTGCCACCCTTCAGCACTGGCACAACCTTGGCGTCCTGGCAGCCCTGACGCCACGGCCGACATTAGCAAGCCGCGACGATGAAGAGCTACTTCAGGACATTGGGCAGCTTGACCCTCAACCAGGCCAAGACGTTCACCTTGGTACCATCGTTCCTTTCTGCGGCGCGGTTGTGGGCCGCGTCCGAATGGGCCATGTCCTCTTTGCAGACTGCGGGAGATTTAAGGTCATGTGCAAGGAGCAGCGGCTCGGGGCCTCGTTCCACGTGATTGTGAGGGAACTTCACGTGGGTGATATTTTGTATTGCAGAGGCTATCCTGGGTATGAGTACCAGGGCGATGCTGCCATCTTTGCAACGGAGATTCTGGCGATCGAGCCAGCTCAAGGCCTCAACTCGCAGGAATCCGTCCTGTGAAGCCCTCAGAGCCTTAGTGAACCTTAGTGAACCTTAGTGAGCGACAGTGACACGGGATTGATGGAGAGGGTGTACATTTTATGCATGGGCTTGTCTTACAATACATGAACCATTAACTGCAACTAGCTTTAAATTATCATGAATTGTAGACTCGTGCGTGCGCCACCTCGGCAGCTGGGTCGGTCCTGCACGAATGCAGACGAGGGAAAGTCAAAGTCAAAGGTCGTTTTGTACACACTACACACGTCATGAGTTCAGGAGGTAGGAGGGCTTCGGTTTAAGTTTAAGGTGGAGTGTTTCGGTTTCGGGTCCCAGGGGGGACTCAGGGGCTCGCAACCCCAGAGAAGCCGGAACAGCGCAGAGAATCCCGTAAAGGTATCCTTGGAGTACTCACCCCCAGAGAATTCCGCAGAAGGTCCCGCCGAGAGAACCCCGCAAGGACTCGGCGACCCCCTCCGCGACCCGACACTACTCGTACCGAGTTAAGCTTGTTCCCCACCTTCGGTGTGGGGTTGTTAGATTTTCAACTCAACTCTTCTCCTCGCCCGGAACTCTTCTCCTCGCCCGGTCTACTCCTTGAGACTCCCCAAGTGCCCAACCCCAGAGACTCCCTGGAGTACCCGACTGGAGTGGCCAGTCTCTGGAGTGGGAGTGCCAACCCCGCAGTCTCCCCTCCCACATTTCCTGGAGTGCCCAACCCAAACTCTTGGAGTGCCCAACCCCAGAGTCTCCCTGGAATGCCCAACCCCAGCTTCTCCCTGGAGTGCCCAACCCAGAGACTCCTGGAGTGCCCAACCCCAGAGTCTCCCTGGAGTGCCTCCCTGGAGTGCCCAACCCCAGAATCCCTAAGATGTTCGAAGTAAAATAATTGTAGTATTTTGGCGTGAGGGTTAGACTTAACCTGCTAAGTCCGTTGCCGCCCTTTACGGGTGTAGTCAGGAATTTCCGGGTTTTGGAAGAGGTTACCCGGTTCCCATAGAAAAACCAGGTTTTTTAGGGGGGCAGGTTGTGGGGCTTCAGGTCAATGTTGGATATGAGTCCTCAGCAACGAGAGATCCAAGCCTCTTGGCCACACGAAACCCAAGAACAGCGCAACCTGTCCCAGGCCTCACAATCCCAACCGCAACAAGCCCCAAAGTTATGTAAGTTCGCCTACCTTACCCACACTGTACACATGCCCAGAACCCAATCCCTGAACCCTTTGTCACATCATCGCGACACGGAGCTGCCTGAGCTGCGAGCCGGGCCTATGTGTGCCCTGGCAATTACTAATTCGGAATTTCGGAAGGCATCTGTTGGATTCAGGATCGAAGCTTTTTGTGAACAGGGTTGGTCGACTTGCAGTCGAACTAAATCCAAGAAGCCTCCGTGAAAGCATCATGGCAACAAATTAGATATCGCTGGAACGTTCGCAAGATTTGCAAACGAATCGAAACTCTACGGCTGATACGGGATGCTTTTCCTACCATGTCCTCGTCCATTTGACAAGCCACTTGAAGTGGGTTGTCACTCAACCCGACTTCCCATCCATCGCGCCACATTTTGTAAATAAAATGATCCATAAGGTGAATCTTTGGCAATAAAGGGTATAGAGGCTTTCGGTCCTGAAAACAGCGCCGTGCAAGCTCCACGTACGATGTCAGAAAAGTACGACCAGCTTCGCTAATGAATGCACACTGCTCAGCACTCAAGAAAGCATCGCAGTCATACAAGCCTCGGAAGAAAAGGTTCGCGCCTTTTGCTGCGCGGAGGGCCAGACCAAAGGAACCATCAATCGGCAGCTGCAAGCCAGTGAGATAACTTTCGAGCCACAGCATCAAAGCCGTGGTCAGAGAACCTTTATTCCAGTAGCCATTGACTCCACCTGGATCACCGTAACTGACAAAGTCTCGAGTGAACTTCCGAATGTGGGCTTGGATCTTGTTCATTTTGCAGAATCTCAAGTACGAAGTTGACAACTCATTGAACCTGGCATCAATAGTGGTCGTGGCATCCCAAAGACTCAGGAGAAGAACTAAAGTGCTTGCAATGTAGGCCCGTCCCAGCCCTAGATGGAATATATGCCATATGTCGAAACGATACAGCATTGCAGGAAAAGCTTCGTCACAAACTAACCACTTCGTGAAAGGCGATTCAGTTTTCCAGGGGATCGTGGTGCCAAGACTTGCCTCCCAAATTGGTTTCCGTGCACCAGCACATTCATACGGAATGTTCGGGGTGCCGGCCAGGCACAGGTGGCATATACCTTTCTTGCCACCGTTGACCGCACGGTTGTATGCACGCTCAGAAAAAGAAACCCGAGAAAGGTACGGTAGGTCACCCTTGACCCCTATAACGCACAACCTGTAGCGATGACCGTCCGAATCCACAATCCCATCCATCAGCAATTCGTCAAGCGCCTGGCACAACACATCGACCATATCAAGGTAAATGTCGTGGGTGTCGTCGTTGTCGTACATACTTTTCGGCACAAGCAAAGTGATGAGGCGAGTGAGGTAGGATGACTGGAGGTTGTTAAGCTTCAAGCGGAAGGTGTCACCAATATCGCCAGAAATGTTTTTGTGTTTTCGGGCTTGAGGTCCAGAGCCTTGCCCTAGTGCAGACTGGATATTGGTCACCATGTAAGCAGAGCGTTTGAGACCACGTCCTTCGTCGCCGTGTATGTACACGGCAGCTGTTCGGGACAAATCTATTCCGGGCAGGCTGAATAGCCCAAAGTTGGGGTAGAGTTGCTTCCAATTCCCCCAGAAGCGAGTCCAGGTGGGCCCCGCTAGGTGTGCCTCATCAGGGCTCAGACCACATAGTTGGCACCATATCTTGTTGCGAAGGAAAAACTTCAGCCAGGTTTTGGGGTTGATCCACGGAATCGTTTCCTGTCCAATGACCATCTTGTCAAGGAAGAAGTCAAGGGTAAACCCATGTTTCTGGATCAGCCTTTGGGCATCCCTTTCCGAGTTTGACTCTCGGATGTTTGCCCATTGTCCCACCCCACTAGAAGCTGCACTCGCACCAAATTCTGACGCCACGGCTCGGGCAGTGCGTATCTGGCTGGTGCAGGTGGCCTCGGCAAGAGAAAAGGTTCGATAAACCACAGCAGTTTAGGATGTCGATGTGAATTGCTACATGTTTTCTGCACACAAGACAGCAAAGCGGCACGAGACAAGGTATTATTTTCTCCCAAATTCGGAAAGATGCACTGGGGTGGCTGGGCCATATAATTATAGCACACGGTGTCTGTACAAGCAGCATGCTCCCAGAAGCCGCTACGGCCTCCTGCATCAAGCCCCGCCTTTGGTGGGGTCTTTTAAGGAACGCAGCACAATATAAGTTAGGTAGGGCCCTTCAGATTCACTTGCACTTGGAACAGTGTCGCCTCCTCGTCTTATGTTCTTGCAGCCAGGCCAACCTTATGTGGAGGAAAGACCCATGCAAAGAGCAAAATCCATTCCAAGCTGAGAGAGACAAGAAATGAAAGCAAACTGAATACATGAAAGCAAAGCAACTTTGGTATTTTTGAATTAGAGCCGCTTCTAAGAAAGCGGGGCCAACTGGATTGTCGGAGACGTAGACCACAACCATTTGCTGGAACTTGTCTCGGTCATACTTGTAGCCAAACACCGGGTTGTGCCAGCGAGAATGTGCACAATGACTAAACCCGAACTTGAAGGTCATGGGTTTGTGGGTCAGATGCAAGCCCTCGAACACTTCACCCGCATGGTACAACACAACTCCTGCGGCTGCGTGTGCCTGCGGAAGGCGGTAGGATAGCAAGGGGTCGGTTTCAATCCTATCAAACACATCCCTCGTGCGAGGCATCTTTAGTATGTCCTCGCTCAAACGTCCTTCCCACCGAGCACCCAAGGTGCGCCGCTGCCGCTTTGCGCTGTCTGCCTCACGCTGCTTTGAGTCTTGGCTGCTCTTCTCCCATGCAAAAGGCCCCAAGGAAGCCTTGGCACATGGGAACCCCTGACACTTCTGAAGGTAGGACAGGGTTGTAGCTGAACTCTGCGAACCATTGGGTGAAGACAAGTAGCAGGCCTGTGGGAGGTCAGCAGATCCAGCAGTTCATCTTCTGAGGTTTCGTCTGTAAGAGAAGGCGCCATGGCTCAGCCCACTTACGACTGGTATATGCACATTTACATAAGCCTGCACCCAGTGACCTAGGAAATGTTTGTTAACCCAGCATGCGAAAGGGAACTTGATGCAGCTGGTCAGCTAAAAGCAAAACCTCATGCTGAGACCACGCAGACAGAATACACAGCTGTAGCAGCACCACTCTGGCCGAGGATAGTGCGCCGTTGCCGACGTTCACTGCGAGCTGCTTGGCGGTTCTGCCAGGGCCTGGCCAGCTGCTCGACTAACCCTTAATTTTACTTCGAACATCCAAACACTCTAACGGTAGAGATACTCTGGGGTTGGGCACTTCGGCAACGCTCTGGGGCTGGGCACTCCAGGGAGACTCTGGGGTTGGGCTCCGGGCATTCCGGGGACACTCTGCGGTTGGGCACTCTAGGGAGACTCTGGGTTGGGCCTCTGGGTGGGGGCACTGGGGCTGGGCACTCCGGGGACACTCTGGGTTGGGCACCTAGGGAGACTCTGGGGTTCTTGGGCTTGGACACTCTAGAGTTGGGCACTCCAGGGAAAGTTTGGGGTTGGGCACTCCAGGGATGGGCGAGGAGTAGACTGGGCGAGGAGAAGAGTTCCGGGCGAGGAGAATTTAAGAGTTCCGGGCAAAGAGAAGAGTTGAGTTTAACGTCGAACAACCCCACACAAAGAGCTGGCGAAAGAAAGATAGAGAGAGAGAGTCACATAGCACGAGAAAAGAAACAGAGAGAGAGAGAGAGAGAAAGAGAGAAAGATTTATAACACCTAAAGAAATATATGTAGCCAATACACACAACAAGGAAAAGAGAGAGAGAGAGAGATGAAGTAAAAATGTGTATAGATAACCACAAAGAGAATTGAGAAGAAAGAGAGAGAGAGAGAGAGAGAGAGA